TCAACATTTCTAGTTCTCAAGGATTTGTCTCTTCAAACGGCGCTGTTTACAATTGTGATTCTGCTCAACTAACATTTACAGTACATGTACCGTCTAAGAATCCAGACAAAAAAATGGAAGACGAAAAGAGGCTTTCTTTAGCAGAGGAAAACTTCTGCAGAAATGAAACAGTTTCTCCCGAGTCAGTTTTATTTAACACATTCTATCAATTGAGAATACCTATAGATGACAAAGAAAGAGATTTGAATCAGAAGATTCAGATACTTGACAATGAGATAGCTCACTGCAAGGAGTTACTGTTATCAGTCAACTGGTAAACTTCATGCCTTCATCTTTATTTGCCACGGAATGTTCATCGTCCTGCTGTAGTCTTCATATAATTTTCTCTATAAATTTACCGTTTTCTTTGCAGTAAAATTGGGAAGTTAGCCCTTGCAAGATTGTTGATGGCACGTGACAAATTGGTGCCATATGATGGCACAAATGCTTGCAACCAGTATGGAGAAGTTCTTCAGTTGTACAATGATTTAGTGAAATTGGATCCAGCACACGTTCAATACTATAAAGACGAATACAGCTGTGTTTTACTCAAACAGGTAATTTTCTTTCCTCCCGTTGATCACCTAGGAATGCTTTGCTGTCAAATTCTAGAGTGTACTTTGCCTTTGGAAAATGAGAACTCCTTGTTATGTGCCCATACACATATGTTGCTGATGGGTTCTAGTCTACCTTTCCTAGGAATGTTTTGCCGTTGAATGCTAGTATCTTTACCTTTGAGAATTGAGCACATCTCCTTGTTATGTGTTTTTATGTTAAGTTATTGAGTTCTTAAAGGAGCTTCTCAAAAACGTTCTTTTATAATCTCTTATTTGTGCTTGAAATCAAAGCATTTTTACATTTTGAGAATTTTGCTAAAAAATGGCTGTTTGGAGCAAATAAGCTCCAAAACAAGAATTCTACTTTGAAGAGTTGAAGTTTACTAGAGGCCTGAATTTTCAACAGTAAACTGTTATCTATTGAAATATGAACTGCAAAAGAGGGCTTAAAATGGGGGTTGTATTATAATGTAAAGAGAGAATTTGAAATAATGTTGAGTTCATCTTCATTATGTCCCTTTCAGTTACTCTGCAATCAAGATTCGTTGCTGGAATGCTGTCATCAATATCAAGAACCATCTTCTTCGACCCCTTATAATTATTTATGTTTGCGTCTAAATAATCTCTCGCTCTCCCGACTTGGATGTGTTGAGAGACTTCTTTGGGTGCAGATCCTTGATCTTAGTGGTAACCAACTTCGGTCCATCAAAGGTACAAATTTCCACCTTTTGCATTGTGTTTTATCTGCTAATTGGCTCTAGGTTATTTTGTCTTACTATACTTGATTATGAACCCTCCGTCCACCTAAGATCTTCCCATTACGTGTTAAGTGGCTTGACCGACATTATTTTCAATTTAATTTAATTGATTATAGGAGTAAAATTTTAAAATAAAATTTATATAATAATAAACTACATGAAAAGTTTTACAAAACTAGCGGTGGCAAGACTATATTATTTTACGAAATGATTAGTAAAAATGAGCAAACAAAGTGAGTAAAGTGTGACTATGTGAATAGTGTCTGGGAAGATCTATGGTGGACGGAAGGAGTACTTTTTTTTGCATTGCATCTCTCATCCCAATTCAACGGGGTTGGTTACATGAACCCAGCATAGAACTCAAAAGATTTTCTTTCTTTCTCGAATTTATTAATGAAAGAAATGCACCAATCAAGTGAAAAGATCATAGTTGAGACATTTACTCCCTCCGTCTCAAAAAACTTATCATAGTTTAATTTTTATGCTAACTTTGACCATAAATTGTGATAAAAGTATATTGAGATATAATGTATATTTGATATAATTGGGTTCATTTTAAGATGTAGTTTTGATATATCAAAATTTTATCTTTTATTTCTTTAAAAATATATTTGATTTAGTGTCAAAGTTAATGTAATTTCCATCATCTCCGATGGAGCCAAAATTTCACCATTTTTTGGCTTTGGGATGTGATGGAATAAATCAAAATGGATCTCTAAACTATCTGCGCTTCTTTAATTAATGAAGTAGCAGTTAGTCAAGCAATGCAACTTTCGATGTTGAGCCGAGGGTCTCTTTGGAAACAGCCTCTCTACTTTCAAGTAGGGGCAAGGTCTGCATACACACACCCTCCCCAGACCCTACTCTTGTGGGATTTAACTGGGTTGTTGTTGTTGTTGTTGTCAAAGTTAATGTAAAAGTCAAATTAGGACAACTTTTTTGGGACGAAGTATATAACTCATGAAGACATGGTCATTTTCCATATTTGATGCAGGTTTGGAGGCAATTCAGCAACTCGTTTGCCTAAACCTAAGCAAGAACTTGCTTTGCAGTTTCACAGCATTAGAGCCTTTAAAGCATCTTAGATTGCTAAAAGTACTGGACATCTCATACAACGACATCGGCGCACATCCTATTGACACAAAAAGGTACCTTTGTTCTTCTCCCCTGTGCCATTCTAGTGGAAGCGCCTGGAACCTTGACGAATTCATGACTGACCATTGGGAAGTGCTCTTGGTTTTTAAGAATTTGAATCTGACACAACTAGATATCATGGGAAACGCTGTTTCTGACGATAAAAATTTAAAGTTGTTGCTATTTGAGCTGATGCCAGCACTCAAATGGCTTGATGGTCAGGAGTTGAGATGATTTTCAAGTGCCCTTTAAGGTCATGTTTGGTTAGAGCCTTGGAGGTAAAGAAAGGGGAACAGCATGTATACTGTGCTACAACATTTTTCTTGTACTACTACGGGTTACATGTTTTGCCTTTGTTGATTAATAGACTTGTTGAGGATCTTCGAGGGAACAAGTGAACACATTCAAGTGAAATAGAGTGATGTTATAACATTTTATCAACATGTTTAGCGAAAGGTAGCCTCATCGACCACTATCATAACAAGTGAAATAGAGTGATGTTATAGTAATCCATAGTGAAGAGAACACATTCATAAGAAGCGTGGTGTGTCACAAAGATCCAATTTCTAAAGTTTAGGAAGGTACATTAGTAAACATAGAAAAGATTCAAAATGTGAATATTTTTGAGTTTATATGTTGGTATAAATAACTATAACACACATAACTTGTTTGAGATCCTTTTTCATAGCAAACATTTTGTTTGAAAGGATTACAAACATTAATATAATGCGGGAGTACAAGTTACGATTCCGATACCGGTACAAAAATAGAACCGTTTTTGCTTCAAGAGTGTTGTGACTTTGCCCCATTCATTGCTTTCTTTAAAAGGAATTTGATAAATTGTATTTCTTCGTGTTTTAGACTATTTGTCTAATTTTTAATCTTTGATAATTAACTAGGACCAACCTTTGACTTATAAAATGGTTCATGGAGATGAGTTGCAATAGCATGCCAATGATAAACGATTCTCTGTGCATTCATATTTGCCTCATTAATATGAAATACGGAATAGCATTACTTTTGTACGGAGTTAATAACCCATATGGCCATATATAATCAATCGACCTCAGAATAATTCAACAAATATGGTATGGTGGATGAAGGTGTAACATCGAAAGTGGCCCACAATTAGACCGCCGGCATCCATTTTATGCTCTGAGAGAGGAGAGTCTAGCAGTATTAGATCGAAATGTTTCTCCGTATAATAGGAATATTAATCAACTGAAAGTTTCAGGTGAAATTCTCACGTGTACATGTAGAAGAAGAAGCATTATTATTATTGTTACAAAGAGCTGTGATACCGCAAATTTGGATTTCATCCGCGCCGGTGAAATTTCTCACCTGAAAATGGTCATCGCCGGGCTGGCTGGGAATGACCGGAGGGAGGAGCTTTATGAAGCCAGACGGGAAAGGGCATTTTCGGCAGCGGAACAATCGGGCTTGATTTTCAGGGCGTCTTCGTATGTCTTTCTGGCCTCCTCTTTCAGCCCTTTCTTCTCGTAGCACTCTCCTAACAGACAAATCGCCTTGACGTCATCCCCCTTCAGCCGCACCGACTCCTCCAGGTCCGCAACCGCCGACGAGTCGACTCCTCCGTCCCGATTCGCCGCGGTCCTCAGCGCCGCCCGCTTGTGCAGCGCCTCCGCCCTCTCCGTGACGCTGAGGGATCTCGCCGCCATCGGCGACAGCGCCGCGTCCATCGAATCCAGAGCCGAGGTCCTGAAGCCCTGGATCTCGAGGGCCATCGCCTTGAGCAGGTGGAGCGCGGCGTCCTTGGTGTCGAGTCCGATGGCCTTGTCGGCCTCTTCCTCGGCCGATTTGGCCAGCGAAATCCTCATCGCCGGGGACAGTTCCTTGGCGGACCTGGCCCGATCCAGACGCTGCGCGCCCAAGACGAAGTGGCGCCTGGCCTGGATTGTGCGCGATCTGCTTCGAATTCGGAGCTCAGAGAAGAGCTTCTGAGGGATGTTGTGCATAAGAAGATAGGCGAAGATGGAGATGAAGATGAGAGCAGCCTGGAGAAGAAGATCGCCCCACATCTTGTTTTGGTCAGTTTAGCTTTTCCTCTCGCTCTACTTCTCCGTACAGTGGTTAGGAATTAGGATGCCGATGAATTTGAGACTGGAAGTCAAACTCAGTTTATGAATGGTGTTTGGGTAGCTGTCTTTTGTTGACCGGTGGGTTGCATACCTAATGTCGGCTTGGCATTATGGTTCTTTAAAAAAAGATAATCTCATGTCCAAAGTCTTAAGATTAATTCTTGACATGATAATATAAAAGTTTTATCTAATGTATGAATAATACTCCCTTCGTCCTAGAAAATCTTTCTCTTTTTTTTTATCCATCCCAAAAAATATTTCTTATTTCTATTAAAAAATCACTTTTACTTTTTACTTTTTCATACCCTACCTATCATATCATACCTTTTTACTAATAATTTATCCATCAAATCATACTTTTACCCATCAAAGTATATTTTTAGAAATTCAATACCAAAATACACTCCCCTTAAATCCTCTTTCAAAATCAAAACTGTCATGTTTATCTCGGCACGGTAGCTTAGATGATCTTAGAGAAAAGAATGTTATGTTTTGGCTCTTGGGTCTTAGTATTGATTTATGAAAAAGAAAGGGTGAAAGTCTTATCCAATGTAATATATCTAATGTAATATATCTTTATGAACGCCAAGCACGGAGCAATTTCTGGAAAGACTAGACTAAGCATTAGATGCACGGGTTGATACAGAGGCATTGGAGAAGCATTCTCAAACAAAACTAGAGCAAGCTAATTATGAACAAATGGAGGTCTTTGAATATCAACAATATGGAGTACTAAGGAACATGCTATGGACAATTAGTGTACGAGTAATAAACAAATAAATTATCAGAACCACATCTGAAATTTTTGAACACGAGACACCATTGTGCGGTTTCATCCTCTCTATAAATAACATTTTTGAAAGATACAAATAGCCATACAGATTAGGTGCAAGTCTGCATTTTATATTTTGAGTGTCCCGCAAAAATAGGTTTACAAATTTCCCTTTGCACGTCGGTGTTATTTGCAAAGTTTCAGCTTCTAAACCCGGGGTCAGTTGCTGTGGTGTGGCGTCTCTTCAGTCTTCACTAAGTTACGGGACTAGAGTCTTTTTGTGTCTCTCTTCCCATCTGAATCACATTCAGGGGAGACTTCAATAACTTCTTCAATGTTTCCACGATGCTACCAAAGGACGGGCGCTGGGCAGGGTCACTGTACCAAAAAGGACCAAACATGTGAATTTCTTCTGTTTCCAAGGACAGACAGAAAATGAAAGAAAAAATATGGACAAAAATGTGCAAGTTCAGAGCTTACTCATTCCAACAAGCTTCAACCAGAGATGCCAATAGGGGAGAAACGTTCTCTGGCATGGAAAGCCTCCTGTTTTGGAAAGCTACAGCTCCAACCACCTGAGCAGGGCAAAGTCCACTCCAAGGCTGTTCCAGGGTGATGAGCTCCCATAAAATCACACCAAAGCTGTACACATCTGACTTCTCATTTGAGGGTTCCCCGCGAAGAAATTCTGGGGCCATCCACTCGGGCTGAAAGAAAAAAAACAAGCGTTAGATGCAGGTTGATCGCAATCCGAAATGCTAGCTTCTAATGACATGTGTGCAAGAAAGAACTTACGGTTCCCGCAACAGATTTGGATGATATGAACGTGTTTGGTTTGAACCTTGATAGACCAAAATCACAAACCTGAGCCAGTATGTATATAAATATTGGGTTAGCAATGTCATGCTTATAGCAGAGAACAGTTTCATTATATTCGGTAGAAACAATATCACTTTTCTTTTTTTTACCTTCACAGTCCAGTTCTTGTCAACCAGCAAATTAGGTGACTTGAGATCCCAGTGAACTACAGGAGGACTAAGGCAGTGGAGATAGTTGATACCCTTGGCCTGCATTTCATCATGTGTATGAGAAAACTTCCATAGCATAAAATTGGAAGCACTGTAAAGAAACAATGTTTTGGTGTAAAGTACAAACCACATCCAAAGCCATGCGTAGCCGCCTTCTTTTATCCAATATCTCTCCATTAGCTGGTCGGTGTATCAGGCGGTATAGACTCCCTCTACAAGAAGCAGGCCAAACAAAGCTTTAAAAAATAGGTACTTCCCGGAGTTTTTTTAGTTTGAATACAAAGAAGCATAACCAAATACCTAGGTAGATATTCTGTCACTATAGATAGATGTGGACGCTTAGTGACTGCACCCATGAAAAGAACCACATTTGGGTGGCGGACACGTTTCATAATTGCAACCTTCAAAAGAGAGTTTGTCGAATCAGCACTTAAAACCCAACACTGTTCAGAAAATCGCCTACAATCCTGTACAACATGGAACTGGCATGTCTCCATGTTCCACCTTATATTAGCTACTTCTACCAATAAGGATGAATGCAAAGCTGGGGCAAGGAGTCAAACCAGACTCCAATGTCTAGGAATATATTAGACGCACTGTCTTATACAAGCAAGGAATCCATTTACCGAGAGAACTAAGATCAAATTTCAGCTACATAGATCTTAGATTGTGTTTTTTAATGGTTCCCTGTTCCATTATCTTTTCCCACCATCCCATATAAGACAAAAGTAAATAAATGAGTGAATTCAATCATTCAGCCCCCACCAAAGCAGGCACATACCTCCCTTAGAAACTCCTTCAATTGGTCATCAAGAAAATCTTGGACAGATAGCACCTTGACTGCAACATCCTGCAATGCATGGTTGTCTTGATGAAATGTCATGAAAAGTCAAAAGTAAAAACGGCTACCTAGTGAAAACTAATTAAGTTTAGTTACTAAAAACAAGTTTATATTACCGATCCATTCCAATCAGCTCGATGTACAGTTCCAAACGAACCTGTGTCAAGAAAATACAGCAAGTGTCGGTATGTGGATACTACAACCTGATAAAATTAAGAAAATTATTGTATCCGAGATTCGTGTGTGGNAGATGGTTCAAGATTCAAGTATTTTGGAATGGTTGCATCAGAACGCTTCTCCTGATTCGCAAGGGTACTCTCAGCCTCCGCATTTTCACCTATGCTAGGACTCCTACCATCAAATGTTGGTGGTCTAGACTGAACAATCTCTTGTCTGTTTGTCCGTAGTAGATCTATTTTACCTTCTCCTGCTTTATTATATATGTTGCTTATATTATGTTTAACGAAAAGCTGATTTGGAGTGCACTTGACATTTTTGGGCTTGGGCTTGTCAATAAGGACAATGTCATACACTGGTTGACTTTCTTCTTCTTCTGTACATGCAAAAGAATGAAGAGAGTACTGAGTTACTCCAGTAATAGCAGGGGGGACAAGTACAACAACGAGTTGCAAAGCAAAGAGAAGCTTCACACCTTTACAAGTTCCCCATGTAACTAGTATTCTATGAATAGCAATAAAGTTCATACTGTCTTCACAAAATTTCATGGAACTTACAACGTGCATGCAAAGAACAACTACCGACCCCTACTGTAGCAAAAATCAAGCTAAGGTTTGGACATTATACCTGAAAGGGTAAAATTTTCTGGAGAAGGTAGTCCACAATTTGAATTGAGGAGATGAGAACCCTTATCACCATCAAAGTGAGGTAGCTGGAATTCCATCAGATGAGCAACTTGAAAGGGGGAAGGCACCGAGCAAAGAATATTTGCATTGACGGATGAATCGGGGCCGTGGATATTTCCCGGTTCCCCAACTAGATCAACTACAAACTCCCTATTAAGAAAGTAGAAATTAGTTGCAATCAAACTAGACCAAAAGATTTTGAACCATATGAGAAATTGACTCCCATTTGGCTATGTTTGCAACCCAATATTTCATAAAGCACTCCGTTTATAAATACAAAATACTAGAGTTAACAAATCCATAGCAAATAGAAGACCTACATAAACTTTCTCAAAGTGGGATACCCCTAATCTCTATACTACTCCCAGTCCCAAAATCCACTCGTCCCTAAACGAACTTTACACTTCTCTCATTTCCATTTCTGGAGGCAATATGTGGCTCACAACAATATTTTGACAACTATCAGGAAAGTTGCTTTACCTAGAAAACTTCCTGTCATCCATAATTTTTATGAGGCACGAAGACCGATGATCTTCAACGCAATACTTGCAACCTCTAGCTATCCTGCAAGGCAACCCCACATAGTCCGCCAATTTCTGTAGAACAGCAGAATGACCACATATATAGGAATCAATTAATATAGATGGCAACAATGTAAGATGATAAGGTTTAATTGCCTTTTTCTCAACAACTAAAAAGTAGGCCTCAAGAATCACCTTGAATAAAATAGCTCTGTGCCTGCAGAGCCCTGTAGACAAATCGCCTATTGGGAGGACGACGCTCTTCTGAAGATCCCTAAGTCTCTTGCTGAGAATTTCCCAGCGAGTGTAAAGATCACCTTGTTCCACTTGAAAAGATCCCCTTCAGCCCAACAAAGTTCACACTCAGTCCCATTAAGAAGGAAATGAAGACTCAACAGTTACGCCACTAACATTATTACTTCAAAAAAAAAACTCACCCCATATGGACAGCAACGAGTTTTCCAAGCTTCTCCGCTAACACTAGTGTGTTCTCTGCAGCGAAAAATATTTCTTGAGCCATATCCTCTAGTTCCCTGAGCTTAGAGTCTCCTCGCCGATCAATGAGCACCACTTCCATGGATGTATCACTGGGTTCACTACCTTTAAGTGCCTTCATAGATGGTAATCTGCCACCTTCCTCGGAGTTATTGCACATAACCCACAAATACGGATTCATCCCCAAGATGTTATAGAATCCATCTGATATCTTGTCAGCGTATGACAAGCAGCCACTTACCTGGGAGAATCAACATAGGATTGGAATGTCACTCAATTAATCACTGAGATCAATATCAAGAACTAAACCTGCTCAACAGAGATAGGTACTAACCCAGAGGCGGAATGACACGGTCTCGGGATCATAAGATACTGGAAGACCCTTCCCACCGATGCATTCTTGGAGAGGCTCATCAATAGCAACAGTTGCTTGCTCAACAATCCTTTTGGCAAGGGTGAGTTGCAAGTAATAGCTCTCCCTCAACCTTGGCACCAACTCATCCTCCCCATCTCTAAGACTGCTATGCTTTGGTGCCGCGCACTCCTCCACCTCTGCCTCCGTGGTGGTAGAGCTGTGCGAATCCCTCACTGGGGTACTTGGCCAGCTCCCTTCCAATGTGGAGCCTGAAAACAAACTGAAAGCAGAGGTAGAGCTCCCCGCGCTTGAAAGCTGCTGCAAAGATGCTTTCCTTTCGACACCAAGCCCCTTCTTGGCTGGCACAATGCTGGGTTTGCTGCCGCTAAACGGTGGCCTCTGCAAGGATGGTTTCTTTCCATGTGAAGGGAGGCGGTGGTCAGAGCCGACAACAACTTTCGGCACGGCCTCGGGTGGAGTTGGGAGCAAGAGGAGGTTGTATTCATTGCCGCCCACAACCACACCATCATCCTCTCCCACTTGAGACGACTTCAAGTGATGACGAGGATTCTCATGGGGTGATTTGTCGTCTCTGATGATCACTTTCTTCTCCGCCAGCCAATCGACAAAAGCAGACAATTGCTTCCCGTGAATCTTGTCCCCTCCTCCTCCCGCGGGAGGAGGGAGATCATGGTAGGAATCATGATGATGATGATGATGATCGTGGTAGGGATTGGAAGATGGGGAATTTCCCCCATTTTGAATCTTATTATTACCGTGATCTAAAAGGAAGTTATTAGTTGGGGATGATGATGCATCGAATCCGCCTGCTCTATCCGGAAATTGCCTCGGGAAGAAGTAAGTGGTTCTGTGCGGCATTTTCACAAACCTCCCGTGATCGAACCCCGGGGCCACCCCCAAACAAACTCCGATCTTCTCTCTCTCTCTTCGATCAGAAATAACTTATTATTGCAAGCTAAAGAACAACAACTCGATCGGAGCCGCAATAGTAAAGCGTCGTCCACAATATATCTGCAAAATTGATCGAATAATTCAACTGCCAAACAAACAAACAAATATATACGAACTGATCGATCGTCGATTGGAACACGTAAAAAGAACACTTGTAATAATTATTTCATCCTTCAGATCATCGATTATTGCATGCCTGGGTACAATAATCTATACGTGTTCATGAAAAATTTATGCAAATGCCGCCGAGAAAAAACAACTAACTTACTAAACTAAATAATAGATCTAAACGAGTGAACGAACGCAAGCACACACACACACATATATATATATATATATATATATATATATATATACCTTCTGGATGGCTGGCTAGATATATCCCCGAATTGAGATGGAAGACGATGAATTGAAGATATGTGTGTGTGTGTGTGTGTGTCACCTTTTTTAAAAAAAATAAAAAAAAATAAGGAGCAATATGTATAAGAAAATGGAAGCAAAAGGTGATATGTATATAAAAATGTATGTATGTGAGATGAAGACGACGGAGAAGTTAAAAGTTGAAGAAGAGGAGAAAAGCAAACGTAATTGAAGGGGGAACTTTATTTAGTTGGTGAGAGTTTTAATAATAATAATATTATTATTATTACTATTTTAAGTGGCACGCAACGCAAGTGGGCGACTGGCTGCACAGTCTGAATGGGGGAAGTCGGTTGCACTGGGACGGGTGCGGGTACATATACGGGGATAGGACGGATTCGGGAACCGGCATTTTTTAAAATTTAAGGATGCGGGAACGGAAATGATTCGGCAACAAAAGATAATTAAAATATTAAATATAGGCATGTAAATGTTAAAAATAATATTCTACTTAATTAAAATGGGTAAGAAGTCTAAGAACCCAAACATTTACCGTGGGTAAGAACCCAATTTTTTTAATTCTCTATACTAATACACTCCGTAGCACTATAGCAGAAAAAATTGGGTTAAAACATTCTGGACCACATAGTTGTCTCCAACAAAAGTACAAAACAATTGCAAAGGGAAGGATTGGTGGATGCGGATGGGCGGATCGGCGGATCTGTTCGGAAGGTACAGATCAGTTCCATCTGCTCTGGATTTGTTTCGTCTGCTTCCAGAGCGGAGGCCGGCAGGATCCGTCTTAGAATTCTCGGATCCGTTCCTATTGAATACGCCGATGATTCCGAAGCTTTAGATGCGAATCCGGTTCGCCGGTCGCCGTCCCCGCGACGCTTCCGGAGCGGGAGGCGGCACCAAACTGCCGAACCCGTGCAACCTAGGGGGAAGAAAAAAGTGATGGAGGAGGGAGGGGTGGGAAAAATTGAAAGGGGTACATCAACCCCAAATGTACACCAAGCTAACACAGACACACACAGATACAAAATGTTTGTGCAACACAGACACAAAAGTGTCTGTGTGTGTCTATGTTGACTTTGGTGTACACTTGAGTACCCTAGCTTAATTCAAATTGAAATGGAATAGAGAAAAGAAAAACTCGGTACCTAAAAAGAAAAAACAAAAGGCGCGCGGTGCTATTGTACGCTGCATGGATTTGACCGCTGCACACCTTTGACACGTGTCCCGTCACATTTGTTTTTTCTTTTCCTTTTTTTTTAAATTTTTGCTGAAGCACACCAAGAGGTAGCTAGGGAGTAAGCTACCACTTACCACCATAGTTTTGTTAAAGTAATAATTCACTGGTTGAATTAATGACTCAAACAAATTTGAATATACAAACATGCGCGATGTGGCATTAAATTAAAAAATTAATATATGAGTAAACAAAATAATATTTCCTCCATTTATAAATAAATAATTTATGATGTTTGACTAAAGTTATAATCATTTTAATTTACTTGAGTTGTGTCATTAGATAAAAATAAAATTTACACTTTTAAAAAAGTTTTTAAAATAAAAAATGATTTGATTTTTCCAAATTCAATATAGAAATACCAAAAATGTTACGTTCTAGGGTACAACACCAGTTCAGGCATTTTGTTGCAGAGATGGTTTGTAGTGCACTACAACCTCATGAGGTTTTGGGTTGGAATTCCTCAGGCTTGGATTTAAAAAAAAAATCACAAAAAATAATAAAACACCGGTTTGACGGGCAAAACAGATCAATTTTCTCCAGTTTCAACACTGATGACAGTCTGATTGACCGGATCAGACCGATTCAGTGTCCGATCTACCGGTTACCAGCATGATAATTCAGGCACGGAGGGAATATTAGAGAGTACTGCTCACTATGATATTTTGCTTGGTTTAGTTACGTATTGTCATTATTTATTTGGCAAAACAAAATATTTTTTTCAAATTTTATTTTATAAATTTTTTTATATAGTTTAAAAATTTTAGTTCACAACAAACAATTTATTTAATTATAATTTTAAATAAAATAATTTTAAAAAAGTTGTGATTTGACACATTGTTGAAGTAGGACATATTTTCGGGAATTGAAGCAAGGAGCATAAGGAGCGTGAATGAGATTTTATTCTTCTTTCTTTCTTTTTTTTTTTTTTGAGAAATTGAAGAGGAGATTATGCCTAAGAATCAAAAGATAATCTACTATTCTTTGTCAAAGGTTTAATTTTCTTTCCGAATATATTGAAATGAAATTTACATTTTTCAACTTTTCATTTTAAAAATCAATTTTTGACTTTTACGAGTAAGTTCAATTCTTATATATATCTTCTCAATAAATTTCAATAATAAAACTGCATTAACTTTTCATTAAATATCTTTAAATTTTTCGCAGTTTTTTAGCCCAACAAATTTTCTTGTGCACTTTATTAGCTTCACTTGTGCGCGTCGTGAGAACTTCTTTTGAGGTCACTTAGCTTGTGTAATTTTTAGCAAATGGTCAAGCTGGTTATAAAAAATAAGGAATACTAAGTACTATGAATTTTTTGATTTTTTTCCCAAATTAATTCATCTCAACACGTACGGGGTGTTACATAAATCAAAATATAAAAGCTTTTCCAACCCTCCAACCATAAGAAGTTTTAAAACACTCAAAATACAAGTGTGAACTTTCATTTCAGAGAGAAGAATATAAATTTCATTGTTAAATTTGTACTAATTAATATATAATTAAATAAATTAGACACAAATAAATTTATTAGTTAAACTTCATTCTTTAGGTGCAAATGAGTAATTTTTTTGGTACTCCATACATTCTTTTGATTTTAAAAATATAAAAAAAGTGGCTGATAAAAAGATAAAATTAAAAAGGTGGGCATTAAAATACTTTTTAAATGAAAAGTACTGATTAATAACTCTCGGAAGGCTAACATGGCAAGAATCTTGGGAGCAAACTAACCCTCTTGAAAATAATAATACTCCGTAAAAAAAAAGTACCCTCTTGAAAATGTTTAACTTGTCACTGTTCGAACAACATACGGAGTATAAATTAAAAATTTCATCATTTTTAAAGTCATTTTAATTATAAATTAGTATATAAAAGTAAACTAGAAATTACCCCGTTCAAAAATATATCAAAATTTTTTACAAAACAAAAAGCAAAATGAATATTTTATTTTATCAAATGACCAATAAAAACATAGAAAAAAAAGTCATCGAAAATTCGTTATAGTAATAGATTAACAGTGACATCCATTATGGGACGGAAGGAATATTTTGTAAGAACTTGTTGAAAAACATAAGTATTAACATACATTTTTACTCTCTCTATTCCAAAATTTATTATTAGAAGGGAAGTACATTTAAAAACCTTATGTTTTTAAATTAATTTTATTTACACATTTGCATAAAATAAAAAATACTCCGTAAAACTTAAATGTATATTTAAAAATTAGGCCAAATATTATACCCCGAGTATAACATATCATTAAAAGGGACAAAATTTGGTTTCTTCAAATGATAAATAAAAATATACTCCATCTGTTCTAAAAGATTGTCACAGATTTAATTACTTTTTTGATCAAATTCTGATATCATTTGGCCACGAATTAGATATAGTTTAAATTTTATTGCATTTTACAATGTTGATTTATTTTATTTTCAAATCAATTTAAAGTCTACGAATATAATGATATGATCATATTAATGAGTAAAAAAATAGATAAATAATACCCACTACTTGGGTAGAGTTTTTTTTATAGACCAGAGGTCTCTGCTGGTTGCTCTTTAGGAGAATCGAAGGGTCACTTTTACAAGTCCCAAGGCCTTTGGCTTATCTCCTCTTTTTTTTACTATTTTTTTAATTTTTTCTGTACATTATAAAATAAAATTAAAACAAAAAAAGGAATTTACACTTCTGCACAACTTGCAAGAGCATGCATATGTTCATCTCGCAGTTCTGGAATTTTTCATATTCAGTTGCTTTTCTTTTCCATTTTTTTCCCTTTCTGGTTAAATATCCCAATTAAATAAAACTGTTTATGGTTGGGGGAATGAGATATCAGGTCCATGGAAAAGAACATTATAATATGAATTTTAAATTGTTTTTTTGCTTTGCATGTTGTAATAAGGCTTATATGTCAAATTATGCAGTCCTAACTAGATTGCATGATAAGATACTTGGCTTGAACCAAATTAAAAGATTAAATTCAATCAATTATTTAATTCAACTCAAAAGCTTATATACTATGCCAACTACTTTTCTCTATATTCAACTTCCGTAGGAGATACAATTCCAACTTCCGGTGTGAGATATATAAACATGTCAAAATACCAATTCAATCAAAAGCTCAAGCTTGTAGTTCAGAAAATATTTCTTATATTCTAGCACGCTCTTCACGTGCAAGCATAATCTTTTTTCGAATATTGTACGTGAAACATTAATTTTTTTAAATTAGGCGGTGCTGAGTTTCAAACTTGTGACCTCTTAATCAACAGGATTCTGATATCATATCAATGAACTAATTCAAATAAAAGCTCAAGTTTGTGGTTGTAGCCCATAAATATTTCTTATATTCTAACATAATTGAATGGGTAAAAAATGAGAGGAAAAGTGGGAAAAAAGAAAATACAATTAAATGAAAAAGAGTAAATTGTGTTTTCTCTCCATCTCTTTTCTTTCCTTCCAATTTCTCTCCATCCAAACACCCTATAAGGGTTGAATTGAATGAAGCTAAGAGATATATGTGTGAAGCAAATAATATAATATGATTAAGCATTTATCTATTTTAATTTTGGCAATGTGAGTTAGGTTTGCTCAAGAAGATAGAGGGAATTGAAGGAAGCTAAGAGAAGAAATATTTGTGTTGGCAGACTACTAGTATTATTAATGGCATATGAAGGGCATGCAAGAAATTAATTAATGGAGCTATATCATACATCAAACTAAAAGTAGCTAAGGCCGGTAGCCATTGCATTGAAGATGTGATAGACACACACACAGATATAATACACGGATTACATGATAAAATAATACGGAGTAATTCTTTCGTTTTTTGTATTTCAGACTTAAATTTTAATCAGTTTCTTTATTTTTTTATTTTTTCATTTTTGAAAAATAACAATGTTGCTATTTTAGTCCAATAGAACTTTTCTCCATCCGTCCCAGAGTGTTTGTCCACTTTCATTTTTGCACACCATCCAATGCACTTTTTAAATCCATTTTATCTTGTAATTTGTATATTAAAAAATTATAAAAATTATATATTAATAATCTATATGTTAAGACGAATCAAACAAGATCACACATGACTATTTTTAGGCTTTCACATTGAGAGAATTTGATGAGTTAAAGTGCTTAGATTAACAGTTTCAAAAGTCAAAAGTGGACAAACACTCAGGAACGGACCAAGTATTAAATATAGAGTATATAGATTGTATTTTAATTATATTCTTCTAACTCTTAAAACCCATGCAAATTAAAATGAAAACAAACGTAATCAAACATCTTAATTAGCGACTTGATCAAACTTGATGCACAGACTTGATCAAACTTGATGCAAGACATCAATTGATCTAAATTTTATTGCAAATCGAAGTTCAATATCAATAAAATAAAGTCATTAAATACTTTTAAAACAGACATAACTGAGTCAATGGATTCACTCACTTTCAAACAACTAAAAAAATGATGTAAACTACATACTCCCTCCGTCCCAAAATATTTGCAACGTTTGCTTTTTCAGCAGTCGCGTGAACTTTTATATATTTCTACGTGTTCATTGGTTATTTGATAAAATAAAATATTCTTGACACCTCTTATTTCGAAGAACTTTTCATGTAGTTTTTTGATATGTAAATTTTATTTTTTATTTCTATACCAATATGTAAGTAAAATGAATTGAAAAAACTTGATATTTTGCTTCAAGAATACAAATATGGCAAATATTTAGGGACAGAGGGAGTAGGTAATTGAGCCCTTTAGTGGAGTATAAACTATAAAGGAATAAAGAGGTGATGATTTCCCCCCATCCTTTATCTTCGCTTGCTAAGTTGCCTAACAAAAATTAAGGACACTTTTTAATGTCCAAATGTTTGCCTCTAGTACGATTCCACCTATGTACCAAAATTTTAAGGGATCCTGACCACTATATATAGAAACTAGAAATGGAAAATAATGATGATGGAAAATAATGATGATTGGTTCCATGCACTGACTCATCAATGGCGTGCTTCTAACATATCTATTCACAGTAGTCCTCGTTTGGCGAGGACTCACTCGAAGCATCACTGTCATACATTGCATCCTGAGGGGATGAGGGAATTGATTCTCCATCCGCAGAAGATAAACCTGCTTTTTTGCAGGAGACGAACAAGTTTATGTCAGCCATGGGAGGAAAAAGAAAAATAATGAGTAAATTCTATAATAGGTCCTTAATAATAAGAGTTTTTCTATTTAGTCTTCTATTATCAAATATTATGCACATGGTCTTTCTTTTATAAGAACTTTTCCATGAATAGTCCTTGTTTGGCCTACTATCAAGATAGTGTTAATTTGAGGTTTAAAGTGTAATTTCACATTAACTCTATGTCCAGTGACATATTCTGATGTCGGTTAAATGGACAACACAATAATAATGACTATGACTGTATACTAGGACTCCGATGAAAGACCACATCGGTAGACTATGATTATAGTATAAAGCGACTGTGATTCACAAATGACGCATGAGGAGCAACCTATTGTATTGTGTATGACAAGAAAGATATATGATCATTGTGAAATTATACTTTTAACCCTCAAATTAACACCAATATAACTCATGATCAAATCAGGAGTATTTATGGAAAGGTACCCATAAAAGAAAGACCACATGCGTAATTTTTGATAATAAAAGACTAAATATGAAAACCCTTTGTTATAAAAGACCAATTATGAAATTTACGTAAACTTGTGTGAAGTTATCAATTTATTATCTTCACATCCATGAATATGTAACCTTGTAAGGTAAATAAGCGTGTGTCATGCTACAAATCCTACAATGACACCCCCACAGATGACTGTGTCTCACGGGTACACAAATAACAATGACTGTGTGTGCGGGACTTATTGGTAAGACAAAGTGATGTCGTCTATCTCTGGTGTCAAAATAGCATTTACCAAATAAGGATAGTTTCGTGGGTGTGTGTGTAACATATGTTGTAAGCCATGGTGGCCCTCTAGCATCAGTCATTAAGGAAACTGCAAAAGGAGAAAGAAGAAAGGGAGCTTCATTACCTTTTTGCAGTTTAGGGTTAAACTTCTTAGTGTGCCGCCTGATCAATCTCCGAGCTTTTGAACCAGAGAGTTGCCTGGCAATAGGAGAGAACTCTGCTTCACTCTCACTCCACTCTCCACCATGTAAATCATTTTCTGCATCCCCTCTCATTGTCCTAAGCACAAAGTTTTTTGCCTTGCGGCGATGAGAACTAAAAAGGCCCTTCACCGAAGTGACAAATCCATCACCTGCCCCGTCACTGGGGCGCTTAGGCCATGATAGTGGGTGCTGTTCGGATGTCCCGGTTGAACCTCCTTCCCCATCACTGTGGTTGAGATCCATGTTGGGGACATTGCCACTGCTGTCTTTTTGGCTATGGTCTTTGCCTATTTTGAACTTCTTAATCTGTACAAGTAATGAGGTCATTGTTAAGTTTTCCCGCGCTGACGACTTCAAGATTGGTCTATTCCAATGAACAACATGGGGTATGTTAAGTCTCCCACTTCCACATTGATATAAAATACACAACAACAAAATGCCCGGATCCTCAAGTCTTGATGCAGAAAAATAATCACTAATGACGATTGAAAAGAACAGGTTTTCGAGAGATAGTACTGAAAACCTTTATACTGCCTTAGAAATGAATTCTTACCTGCATTCCAGTGACCGATTTTAATACTCCCCATATGATGTGTTTCTTAACTCGCGAGAATAGCCTCCCCCAGGTTCCGGTAAATTCAACACAATGAAATGTATCCATCAGCAATCTTAAATCACTTACAGCAAATCTGGATCCTTCATATGTCACCGAGAGCTCTACCTGTATAATATATTATAAACACAGGTCAAATTGTACGAGTACCAAAATTGTTAAATAAAATATACCCCGGAGTACTCTGTAATCGTGAGTCGTGACAAATGAAAACCAAACACGACAACCAACCTGACTAATCTTAATATTGTGGAACTCTCTCATTCTTCGAGGCCTTTTTTCATCATTTGCTTTCACTGCCTTTTTCTCTTCCTGATTGGATCGCGCAGATTTAACAATTTTATTGGAGTCTTTCGGTTTATTTTTAGCTGTGTCGTCTTGCTGCTCCAAACAGGTCTTTGATGAAGAGACACTCGATGATTGAACTTTCAATACAAGTTCATTAGCAACTGATTCAGCAACATTTTCCTCCCATGTTCTGTCAAAGGATGCAGTCCTTCGTAACTTGGTTGCCTGCGAACACCTCAGCAGGCAACATCAATACACTATTGGACCAACCAAACAACAATATAACTGAAAGAATTGAATAATATGATCCATCATGGCATCTCAACTAAAAGTTTAACCTTAATCTCAATGAGTATTCTATTCATGAACTGTAAAACAACTTTGAAGACTCACATCTGAGGAATCTGTAAAAGAAGAATGTGGTAAGGTGAACATGCTTGATTTGGAGGAGCTCTGAGAATCTTTAGTCAAGGGACTCGTAGCTTCATTTGCAGACGAACCTTTCTTTCCACGCTTTAAACCAGCGGTAGTCGAAACTTTCCATACTTCCTAAGCATAGCCAAAGAACTCACATAAATACATTTCCATGTACTTGAGGTGCTAAATCTCATTTTACATTCGACTGTTACTTTCATGTACCTGCCGTTGATGGGAGTCTTGTTCTTCTTCAGGAAAAAGGTACTCCCACATCATTCGGTACATTGTCTCAGCCAAATGAATCTTCAAGGGGTAGATCTCTACCTGAAAAGAAGCTCGTGATACACGAATCATTTAACATCATTCTCAACATAAAAGGAAGTTCAATACTGCAGCCACTCCTGCAGCCCACAACAACAACAACAACAACAAAATGCAATATGACCTTGTCCGAGCCAAGGAAACAAAGGGTTAAGTGGCATGATCATATGATTATCAACTACAAGTCTCTAGTAATACTTAAACTGCAAACTTGAAAAATCATAAAACCGACTCCTATGTATGGCTGTCAAGTACGTACCTGCCCTAATAAGGGTAGATTGTAAGAAGAGAATCAACGTAAATATTCTTTAATGATTACACTTCTCTTTACATAAAATTAATAAAACAACATCACTGGTTTTATAGAAACTGAAAATAGCCAATACCTGAAGTAGTTCAATAGGAGAGTGTCCATCTTTTGGAGGCCCCTGTTTTGCATCTACATGTAGCATAACTTTTCTGCAGATGAGGTATCATAAGATCATTAAGCACAGAAAACGTGTTTATTGTTGCTTCTTGCATCACAAGATATGTTGAGATACAAAATGCTTGAGGAGAAACCTTGAATATTTGAGCGGGAATGGATGTCATGAAAAATAAATGTGACACAAATAAGAGATGCACAATGGTGATACATTATTATTTTAGCAAATAAGAAAGTCAAATCTAAAAAATTAGAGTTCTATATAATTGCAATTATGGAAAATTCAGAGCAAGAAACAGAACACGAAAAAGAAGAGAAACATACTTTCCCCATTCAGGAGGAGGATTCCAGGCTGAAAGAACCATGTCACACTTGGCATTCAGCAGACAGTTTCTTATAACAAAGAATTTTATTGTGAACTTTGCAACACCAACATCTTTGTAATCCCTGTCAAAATCATAAATCTGCATCAAGAAATTACATCATTCTTAGTCATTTCAGTTTATAGGAAGGCCTATTCATGCACAATTAAAATGTGGGAAATATGAATATTTGTCTCTCAGATAACAAAAAAGAGGAAGTTACAGAGAGAGGATTTGAACTTGCTAAGCTATCCCAAATACAAAAAACTACCACTCTGTTATCATGATAAGAACTACCCCAAATGGATGAAAATGTAGTTCACATTTATTTGCAATCAATAACTAAATCCTGTGTTTAAGTGTTTTATTTGGAGTCATGTGTTACTCGAGCTGGGGGTCTCTTGTAAACAGATTCTCTACTTTCGAGTAGGGGTAAGGTCTGCGTACACACACCCTCCCCAGACCTTACCTCCGTGGGATTCTACTGGGTTGTTGTTGAATTTTAGTATGCCGGATGAATTCTAAGGCTGATACAACCATTAAAAGAGGGTGTATAAATTGCAAGTTCAGTGGTAGACAGTAAAAAGGACGTGCAAAGATGAGAATGAAGATTATATCAATGTTCTACAAGACTTCGAAATGTGTTAGAACTCAGAGTGGTGAATAAAACTAAAGAAGCTGAGCAAAATGTTTTACCAAACTATAGATAGACGATCAAAAGAAACAGTAGGCTTATCATAGTTATCATTAAGACAATGGCTGTTATTTTAAAATCTAAATCAAGGATAAAGCTTAGTTTGACCAAATTTTTACCTTCAACTCATACAAAACCTCGTGATATATAGTGGAACTAGACAATTTGAATACTTATTTTGTTGTATGCTACCATCATTGCCAGAGAAGGATATAAAGGGTGTTATGTACGCTTTCTTAACTAGTTTGAGCCCAGAGGACACATAAGTTGGAGAAGAAAATATAAGCAGACTTGAATAAGAATCTCACCATGTCGTTAATCTCAGCTTCAGCAAATGATTTTCCATCTATAAGCATGCTCCAAGCAACTTTATTAATTCTTAAATAAATGCGCATAGCATGTGAAGGACTTTTATTCTTTTCTTTCTCCATCAAACGTATCTGTGCAGCCTTCTGCAGGGCTGTCCTTAGAGAAGCAGATGCAGCTTTTCTAGATTTTTTGGCACTTGCTAGCTCTTCCTTTAGTTTTTGCACCTGTACAACCAAAATTTAGGGAAACCTATAATTATATTCTATAGTTAATGCATGACAATATCAAATAACTATCAAAACAAGTTTGAACAAACAAGCCATTTGCATTGTGTTATCAGCTCTTTTGCTAAAGACTCGTGAAGCCCCTATACTGCTAATCCTAGGTTTCAAATAAGCAAATAGGTAAGGTATGATTTTACCAGAAATAAGAATTTCTATTTGAAAGATAAGGTTTGTCAAAGAAGGCAAACAGAAAAGTGATTCCTCTGACAGTAAGCGTGATGAATATATTTAACCATGAATGTGTCGACTGGAGGCATAACATGTTGTCTCAATAATAATAACACAAACTTTTCTAACCCAATCTTAAGGACATTTCCAGCATGTGATGTTACACTATAAAAAAATTCATTACATACATCATACATGATGTCTCTAAAGAATCAAGTCAAATAACAAATGAAAATTAATAGGAATTGGTCAATAAAAAACAAACACGCTTACAACAAAGAAACTATATTGCTTACCAGTACAGATCTTCCACCAGTTACCACCCACGGTTCCATATCCTTCTCCGAGCATTCCTCTCCACACACATCATTGCAAAGAGACAATTTCCTTATGTCATCCAAGATTAACATTATGGCACGTTCTTCTTGTTCATGGTTGATTCTTGCTAATTCTACCTCTTCGACACCATAAGGAACAACTTCATCTGCCTCCTCTTCAACATCATCATCCTCAACTTGATATGACAGATTAACTTTTCGAGCCCTGAATCACAATATTTAATGTGACCACTTGATCAAGATATGCATACATTCTTAACAATGTTACTCGTGAATCAAATACTTTGTGTATCTCAGTATATGGGATGTTAAAGGGTTGAATGTGTAGACAAACATATGAGTGCATGGTGATACTTCCATTGTTGGGACTGCATGTACTTCCCCTAACTACGCATTAGTATGATACTATCTGCTTTGGGCCAAGCCCTCACTGGTTTGTTTTTGGGCACCAACCAAGAGGGCTTATACTAATGGAGTTGGGTGAACCATATATATGAGTGTATTTTCTCGTCTCCTTCTGTGTGGTATTTGGGCTGTTTCCCAACATCCATGACAAACGTTTACAGTCTATTAGAGATTATGGCAAGATTTGGCGATCCATACTAGAGATAATGCATGTACTTACTTTGGAGCCCTAGCAAGGAGGAGATTGGTTAACACATCTGTCATAACTTGGAATTGGCGAGATGTCATTGTTGCAGTTATATTCTGCGAATTGAAAGAAAGCTCTTTCAAGGGCTTCACCTGCAATACAATATAAGCTAGGATCAACCTACATGAAAAGAAAGTTCGAAGGAAACTAATGTAATGGCATATGAATTTGTTAGGCTGCAAACATACCTTCAAGTCTGGAGAGCCAGCTTTATGCCTTGTATAACGAAAAAACATATCACAAGGCATGAAAACTTGTTCTAGTAAAGCTCCTGTCCTTTTCACTTTTGGTGAGTTTTTACGAATTTTGGGAAGCCACTGTATTCCAGCCCCTAGATCTACATCAGTTGGAGCAACATGAGCCTGCACATGCTCTAACATCATGGAGAACTCTCTGCGGCTCCATGTCATTTGTGAGATATATTCTGAGTTTTGAACATTTCCGGCAAGAGACTGTTGAATTTCCTCACTGCAAATATGCATGACTGAATGAAATGAACGAGCTAACACACGTCCACTAGCAGCAGCAAGCAAAAATCTACCCTGCAAATTAGAGGGAACTGTACATTGTTATCGTGTGATTTGAAATTCCTAACCTTTTCAATCGGCGGATCAGTTTTCTATGGGCAATGCAAAATTTCTGTACAAATTGGTAAAAACTATAACACTCAGTCATCAGTCATGACATCTAGTTACCATTGCCAGTTTCTTCAGTCAAAGAATGAAGCAAAGGAAAGTGAAGAACAGAACAAGAGAAGCCTTCCCTGTTAACACTATGATATAAAAGTAATCAGTTGTCCCTATGGTGATGCAACTAAAGGATATTCTTATGACTCATTTACACATCATTGATACGTGAAAACATAAAGGAGCAGTAAATGGATTCAACTAAATTCATGAAGAGAAGCCACATGAATTTTTTTTACAGGTAAATCATTCCCAGGCGATTCTTCTATGCTGAAACTTTCAAGATAGAACCTACATTTGCATCTTCAGAGTGAAGATTGAATTGTGGCTCAATGACATTCACCATGAAATGTCGGATCCCCTCCCCATCGGACTCTTCATTATTACTAGGCTTTGCTGAAAAAAAGAAGAATAAAATGATAAACCATAGATAGCAATACCCATTGGCTTTAAAAATTAAAAATTTGAAGAGCATGACAAGGAAATAATGCATAAACAAATTGGACCTTAGGAACATTACAACATGTATAATATATTGGGATAATAAAATCTAGTATGAACTCTTCAACACAACCTGTTGCAATACATGAACAAAGAAAGCTAAGGTACACTTCAAATTTTACCTGTTGCATTAGGACTTTCCACCTTGACTGAATTAGAGGGTGACTTTTGCAATTGTGATTCTGATATTCCAGCATTTTGTGGAGGTGATGAACTGACATCTTGACTAGGAGGAGACATTTGGTGATCATCCTGAGACGTCTCCGGGTTTTCAACTACCTTACTCTTCTCCTCAAGCAACTTCATTTGAGTATATTGCCGAGGAGGAGATGGTTTTGGAGGTTCAAAAGCTTTAGTCAATCCACCAACAAATGAAAAAACAGCAGCTCTATTGTCAAGATTCCATAAAAGCTTGAGACCATAAACAAATATGCGCTGACAGTTATCTGCAATTACTGTATTGCATCCATCATCATCCGGGGATTCAGGTTTTGCATGCTCCCCACCTTCACCCGCATTTTCAAACTCAGATGTTACATCTGTCATCTCAAGATCTCTTCTAAAAGATTCTTGCCATGCCAATACTCTCTCTGGATCAGCTCTAGGAGATTGTCTCTTGATCATGAAGTAATCAGACAATAAAAGAAAACCGTCATCGGGATGTCTCTCTTTGCTACCATTAGTAATCTCATTTTTATCATCAGCAGTTTGTTTCATAGAAGCAGACTGTGAAGTCTTCCTAGTCAGATGAATGACTTGTGCAACACTCGTGCAATCATCTTTACTAATAAATACCTTGGGCATGTGAAGATCCACGCTTTGATAAACAAGATCGAGAGGATCACGCACACTTTCAAACATAAATTTTTGTTGCCCGCGACCAAGATAAAGTTCTATTTTCACTCTTTCCATCTCAAATGTCAAACCCTTAGCTGGATCATCATCTTCTAGCGGTATATACCTTATGCATGTAGGAGTTGAATCAATCCTGAACATGAATTCTGTCATTACTTTGTCTAACGACAGATTCCCAGATCTTGGAATCCTAGGAACTCCAAAACGGGGCCACCTAGAAAAGGTCCTAATTTTGTTAGGAGGGAGGTAATTTAAGTTCCAAAATTTTATTAGCCACACTAAATCATGAGGACCAACATTTATTGTGGGAGAATTAAGTGCTGCACATACTGGCTCTGATTGACTATGACAAGAGGGCCTAAGCAAAACATTCCAGGACAGAGACAATGCAGTTGATCTGAAGGGATCATAAACCTTTTCGCGAGGAACACTTTCATCTGGAAGTGCAAATAAGTAATGATTAAGGGGATTTCCAGAATCACATTCCCATTCCATAGTTACCTCAACAATGAAGTCTGGGGCCTCTAGGAAAGGATAAAAAGATCCATCTGGAAGTTTTAAATTGGAGCTTTTTAAAAATCTCTCCAAACTACTTGATAGGATCTTGAAATCCTTCACAGATGCAATAATACAACCATCAGATTGTTTCACTTCCATAAGACCAGATAAGACCAAGAGCTTGTCAGACTCTTCATAGGGATCGGTTGTAGCAAGAATATTCCACCTGGTTTCAGCAAAGTACAAAGATGTGTTACCGTGAATATAGTTTCTCATTTCGTCCCACCACGGCAAGCTCTTTTCCTTTTTAGGTGGAGGAGGATCAGGGTTTGGGTTCCTAATACTTAAATTGGCTCTGCGAAGAGCCACAGAGAAAACATAGCTGATATCAGTGAACGATGGTTCAAAACTAACCCCATAGGAAATTTCAGCTTTCTGAAAATGTAAGGGCAAATCTGAATATGTTTTCATTGGTGGAGTTGTACCACTCGCTGAACGAAGTAAAGAGACCTTCCTCCATCTCCCTATATAGACATTTTGTCGAACTTGGGGTTGAAAACATGTTGCCTGAAATGTAATGGTACAGATAGTGAGGGTCTGTCAACAAGCATGTGGACATACGTTTCAGCACATGCAGGAACAATGTAATCATGCACTCCAGAATAGTGTAACACCCACATAAGAAAATGTAGTTAACCATCAGCCTTGAAGGTAAAAATATATATTGCCAAATTGCTTTTAGCAGTAATGCCAGTTTTACTGTTTGAAGGAGATATTGACTCCAATGCAGATAATTTCACAGCCAAGTATCAGAAGTCATTCGATATTCAGTTTGAATATGATGAAAATCTTCACAAACAATTTTTCTAAACATCAGTTGAGCTTCATGCTGAGTTTTAAAAGAACCCTAAATGCATCATTTTAATGATAATTGATAACAACTAATAATAGTTCACAGATGGATATATTATTGTCCAATGACGATGGAGCTAAAAGAGTCATTTTTTGACAAAGTTTTAGCTTCAGATAAATAATGGATAAAATAAAAATGAAACATTGAACAAATCCTTTACTTCTTACTTTCTATTAAGTATATGGAAGTAAATGCAGCAACACAACAAAGGTCTGATGGAGATAGGCTCTCGGTTTTTACAAGGGTAAGGTTGCATATATCTTGACCTCCCAAGCCCCAATGGAGATGAAATTATACTTAATTTATTGTTATTGTAGATAGAAATGTTAAAGTGCATCCCACATCGGAAGTTCAAGAGTAAAACAATTGGTATATAAGCTCTTGAGTTAAACTAACTAATCGATTGGATTCAATCTTTTAATGTGGTTCAGTCCAAGTGTCTTATTGCCCAATCCACATATCACTACTCCATCCTAAATTCTATCATGGTATCAGAGCAGGTTTTGGCCCACCTCGTTTGTCAAGGTGTACTTCTAGACGTTCATTCCTAGCGCCACATTAGTCTTTGGCCTAGTTGTCCTTATAGAGTATGTACCCAACGGTATGTGGCCCGTTTAACACGATTGCTTGCCTGGAAGTCTATACCCAGCGGCTCGTGGTCCTTTAGGTGTTGGTGCTCAAAAAAATCAAGGGAATGGGAGTTCATTTGCAAGTGGTCAACCGGTTAGATTCAAAATGGCCCGGTTGTCCACTTGAGGGGGAGTATTAAAGTGCATCCCACATCGGAAGTTCAAGAGTAAAATAATCGGTATATAAGCTCTTGAGTTAAACTAACTAATCGATTGGATTCAATCTTTTAATGTGGTTCAGCCCAAGTATCTTATTGCCCAATCCAGTTATCGCTACTCCATCCTAAATTTTATCAAGAAATATAAGAAAAAAATTTAAGGCAGAGACTAGGAAAAAAATGAGGCTATATAATACAACATGGTTAACGGTAATTATTGAATTGAAGAATGGACCTGCTGAGCCATCACAAGGCGGCCTTCACATCTTCCCGAAGTTGCAGCAAATAATGGACATGTGTAATTTCTTATCCGAACAACAAGGGAACCTGTCTGTAAATTGATTTTACTTCCATACAGTCGTGAAAATGGAATGTTATGTGCACGACATACAGGATCTAGCTTCTGAAGGAGTTCAATCATCCCAGCATCACCTCCTTCAATTTTTGTCAAGCTTACATCTAATTCTGTGGCACACAATGAGAAAAGTGAAATTCTGGCAGCACTAGGCCTGAAACCAGATTGGAACCCTTCTCTGCAAGCCCCTGATCCTTGTGATGGCTCAAGATTCTGGCATGCCTGGTAGTACGACCGGAATGACTGCCTATACATTTCCTCTTGCAGTTTCTGGATAACTGAAGAGTCCTGCAAATCAATCTCTTCTCCATTTAAAAGAATCTTTCCTTCAAGAACAACAGCATTCTGGTTCTCAACACTAGGAGATTGAACACCTCTAGAGGCAAGTTTGTCAAGGAAGTTCATACGGACAGCTAATTCTCGAGCTTCATTCTTCAGCAAATGGTAATGCTCATCAAGCCAGCCTTGTAGTGGTTCTTCTTCTAGTTCTGCAGTCAGTTTACGTATGCATAATCTTACTCGCCCAGTTCTTGATGAACCTGGTACTTTGGGGTTTCGTTTCTCTTCCTTGTTTGGAAACACAAGTTTAGTTTTAGCTGCAGTAACAAGCTTCAGAGCTCGAATCATTTCCTCAACAGAATCATCAATAGCACGCAATTCCAGCCTGTATGGTACAAATATGTGAATATCTAGAGCTTGAACTACCCAATCCCATGCGGTGTTTCCCCCTTTAACATTTGACAAACTGTTGGAGGAGGAATTAGGGATCCGAGAAATTTGCATCCTGCTGCTTCTAAGTATTCGTGCATTGTTAAAATGAAGAATGGATCCTTCAAGAAGTAAGCCTATCCATGCATTTTCAGAAAATATAGACTGTACCAGGATGGTGGCTTCAACCCCATCCCCTGCTTCAACAGATATATTAAGTGTTTCCACATCAATCGCATAAATGGTTTCTCTTTTATTTTTCTGTTTTTCAAGTGCTTCTGCAGCAGAGGTCTCTTTCTTTGGTTCACTATCTTCTTTAATAGGTTCCTTAACGTTATATTTTGCTAGAAGTAACTTCAACCGTAGTCCCAATTCAATTAATGCTATATGCACATCAGGTTCCCATCTCAGAGATATATCAGTAGCACTGAAGAGAGAACAAATAGAAATCTCTTTAAGACCACCAGATCGCCTTACACACTTTGCATGTTGCATGTCAAGCAATGTAACTTTAGTTGCAATGTTATTTCCTTCCAAGTGTTCTTGATATACAGATATGACCCTCTTCAGCTCCATTTGCTCAGTTTGTTTCTCTTTGTTCTTGGAAAAACTCAAATTGAGAACTTCAAGGGAAACATCATACTTCAATTCCTTCAAGTCATTTAAGGCAGTAGATGTAATACTTGCAGTCCTGGGAGTACCATCAGCAGAATCAGTAATTAAGATTCTACCCCCTTGTGATCCATAATTTACACGTTTGGGGTCTGGAACAACTGCATTTTCTAAGCCCACGTCTCCACAGAACTTCAAAGAACATCTTTCAAGATTGAACTTTATGAATTGAATCCCCTTTCCCGATGGCTTGGATGTTTTTGAAACCTGAATTTGTGATGGGTTCTTCTTACCAGAAGTAGAAAAACTCTTTAATAAGGATCTGTATGAGAAGGTTGTTGCTACAAGTGATTCAAGGCACCTTAAGGTTATGAAAAAATTCATGCCAGCTACATCAACACGAAGACCCAGACCACACGTCGTACCATCTTCAGAAGACTCTATATCCTTTTTCCCCCAATCTATGCTCACCTGTTCTGCGTGTGTTAATGGGTTCACATTTGCAGTTTCAATTCCAAATACGGCTTGCTTTAAGCATTCTTCATGCTCCTCAGACATGCGTAGATTGAATTCACCGAGTTCTGCGTGTGCTGCGATGCCAGAGCTAGATGTGTTGTTGACTGAGGCATGCAATAATAGCAAGCAACCCTGGAATTTGACGAGTGAACCACTACTGATGAGCCCTATAAAAATCATATTCTGCATAAACGGAGGCACACTTTTGTATTGAAAAGCATCTTACATGATACAGCGGTGAGGAACTCATATCATAAATCACAATGGTCATCTCTGGAGCAGTACAACTGCATGCCCATATAATGGATTTATATCCAGATGATTTTGGTTTTTCAAAAGTAGAGCCTCCTACCCGATGCACCACTTTCTTTTTCTTTAAAAAATGAAGCCGCATCCATGGAGTTAATTTAGTTATCATCAGATTGTTTTGCAACCCTCCAAGCTTAATATCAATTTCAGCCCTAACTGGCAAGGTTGGCTGTAAAACAAAGCACCCCCAAACGGTCAAACAAGATGACAAGACAATATTTAAAGATCAAAACTTCCGACATACCTCAATCGGGATATAAATGGAAGAGATACAATCAAGTTTCAAAATCTCCAAAATAGAAATGCCTGCCTCTTCAAGTAGCTATGGATAAATAAGCTAGACATTAGACAAAAAGAATATGCATTGTATCAATATATCAATGCTGGAAAAGTAGTTGCATGAGTACATGGATCTCACTGAATTCCATCTGTATATCAAGTCGAGTGCTTTTTCCCACATCTTCAGTTCTTTGAGATTTTGAGCTGTTCAACTGAATGCCTCTGATGTTATTCTCCATGAGGAGACCCTCTCCCCGGTGCACAAACTTCATATGCAATTTAGGGAGACTGAAGCTAAGCTATGAAGTAAATACACAAACTATATCAATCAAATGGACATAAGTGATGAGACAAAATTAAAAGAGCAAAGAAATGTGTAGTAAAGAAAAAGGATCATGTTATTTGCAACAGGAAGCAAAGTAGAAATTACATACTGATAAAGACATGTTAACAATTAGCTAAATAACTGCCAAAATGTGAATGTTTTATTTAATGTATTGGCGAGGAGCACGACACAAATACATGGAATAGAAATTAACTGCTTTGCAAAAGCTTGTTTATAAAATCAGCTTGCCGGACCTTTTCTGGAAACAGAGAAGCATATTTATCTATAGCCAGTGAAGCAGGCTTTTTCTGTGGTTTTTCAGTAGCAGCAGAGTCATTGGTCACTTTTACAACATCATCAACCTGGGAGAAAGCATCTGCTGCATTTTTCTTTTTAAGAATTAGCTCCTCACTTAGGCATAAAGAAACATCTCCACATCTGATATCTAAACTGTTAACGACGACATCAGCTTCCCTACACCAAAAAAATAACACAGGAAAATCAAATCAAAAGCAAATCAAACAGACGAGTCTCACTTGGAAGTAGTGAATGTACACATACCCTACTCTACGACTCTACCCCAAGGAGTACAGAGGTTGTTTTTGAAGACCTCGGCTAAAGAAAAAAAATTGGAAGAATTGGAGGAAGTAAATAATCTAAAAAAACTTACAACTTTTGGGGAAAATAACATCAAGTGGTGACAGTTAGTGCATGTGCAGAGCGGGGATCAAAAAATTTAGGTCAAAAAGGAAATCAATAGGAAGCATAAAACAGAAGCGATAAGACAAAATAAACAAGCAAAACGGAAAGTGATCAGACAATCAAAACACTGAAGAGTTAGCTGTACCACACAGCCTGCCCCTAACTGAAGAGCTAAGAGAGCTCCCAACCCCCCAATAGTGTCCACTCTCACACCCTACGATATATCTACTACCCTAATCCTGCATCTCCATGTCCTTGGAGAGGGTTTAAGGAGGCCGTGTCCAGCATTACCTGCTCGTTGCACGTCCTCGGTGGTCTGGCATTCCTCCTCAGTCCCTTGACCCAAAATCAAAGTATTTTCAAGATGACATGGGAAATACAGACCTACCTATCAAGACCAAATTCACACGAGAGAGAAAACTCTTCACATATAGAAGGAGCAGATGTCTTCTCTATCGGTGCTACTAATGTCTGGTAGGAAGGAACATGTCCACCATGCAACGAAGACTGAGTATAATTGACCTGTCTATCACCTAAATATACGAGAACAGGCACCAGTTTCAAATTCACAGATAATTTTGGCTTGGATCCACCGTCTTTATATGTATCAAGGGACAGCTCGTTAATCTCCACAGCAACCTTCGGTGTCTACAATATTTTAACAGAGAAAAGAAAAGGTTCAGATAGCAATACACCTTAACACATCTAACGGTGGAAAATAAAATACCATTTAAGTGTAGTTCTGCACACAAAAAATTATATATTTGCATCTAAGAATAGCTGAGATTGCAGTGCCGCATCGATACAAAGTTGAATATAACACTAGCATCAGGCCAGGCGTACCCTGAAAGACAGCTTAGTTATAGATACTGACAAAAATCTTGCCATATTAGCTAGGAACATCCACTTTCTGCAACCTGGCTTACGGGATTTCTGAGAGGAGCGGGACCTTTTGTTCTGAGTGGCCGTTCGGGAAGCCTTCATAACAATTTCCAGATCATATATTAGCACCTTCAATTTTGGACCCCTGGACAAAACACCAGTCCCAAGTTTAGCCAACAAGTGGCGTAGACTTAATCTGATTTCGCCAACTGAAATGCTCTCAACCGAGCCCTGCAAAGCGTGAGAATGAACAAAACAAGAAAGAAAAAGTGATTGAACACATCAGTAAGAAATACTCTTGGCACAAGCAAATCATGTATTTATGGAACAGAATAGCACAAAAGAGAACTTCAAAAAAAACAGAGAGAAAGAGAGAGGGAGATTAATAACCTAGCACTTTGAAATGAATTAAGAGCACTGTTCAATTTTTAAACTAAAAAACTGTAAGGGAGTACCTTTTTTAACTTCACTACAACATTTCTCAAACTCCTCATTCCTGATACATGAAACTCCACAGTCACTCCCATAACACATCTCAAAATCAGAAATATCAGCTTGGTAGTAACCCTAAAACAAAAAGCAAAAATAAACATCATAAAGTAAAAAAAATTTAAAAAAAACAGGTAGCACTGTTCACAGAAGATTCAAACGAATTTTCATAATAGTCGCTCTAAAACTCACAACATCACGAAGCAATTTTCACAATAAGGTCAAATATGATACGATCAAATAACAGTAAATAGGAAAGGAAGCAGGTGAATTGCGTTCGCCTTACCGGAGGAAAATCCATATGATGACGGGGAGGAAGAAGAACTTGGCCGAGAAAACCGCCATTTCCGGTGACAAAGACGCCGATCGCCAGGTTCTAAGCGGGAGATGTGTCCAATGCGGCGGATTTATTTATTCCGTTTGTCGATACATACTTTCGATGTGAAGATGACGGGGGGAAGGAGAGACAAAACTGATCGAGAAATCATGGGAGAAGGGAATTGAAGGTTGGAATGAGGAAGGTTAATTTGTGGAAGAGAGGCGAGGAGGAAACGGTCAAGAGAGACATATGTGCACTGTAGTAGAGGAGGGAAAAATATTATGGAGAAGAGAAAAAAGAAAAGGGAAATGAAAAAAAAGAGTGGTTTCAGGCGGGTAACGTGGGTAAATTGAAAATTAAATTTATGTGTATTTAAATGATGGAAATATTCTTAAAAATATTAGGAGTGAGGGTATATTTATCCCTCCAAAATTGAAAAAGGTATTTTATCTGGGAAATAATATATGCACTCCAAAATTTGATAGTGGCACTCCACTTTTTAAATTTTTTATAAATATTGACATTATTGCTCTCTAAAAATGCTTCTTCCTCATTCTGCACGCATCACTCACATTCCTCCCCAAATAATTTACTAACAAATTGTGTACTCCGTAATTCTGAATATAAAAATAGTGTATGGGTTGAAGATGAAAATCTAAATAATAAATAGTCATTTTTAAGTTATTTTTTAATGGTAGACTAGATTTGTATTTCAAGACAAAAAAATTATGTAATTTTCTCCATCCTTAATTTTTAAATTTAAAAAAAGATAAAACCCCATTAAGGATAAAAGTCCTCTCGGATCAAACTGGTCATTTATCTCAAAGGAAGAAAATGGAATTTTAATTTAGACTAAACATCATTTTTAAAATAAAGCTTAATATTTCTCTATCTAGAACTAGACTTGTTCTTCTGAGATCCGATTCTAAGGTCTTCATATGAGATATAGACCTTCTCATACTTTTTATAAGCTGTCAAATAAATCTTTTTTTGCTAAAAACTTAATTCTTTTACAATATTAATGCACTAAATTCTATAAAATGAGAACGAACCTTAGACGAATTTGCCCTAAAATTAATGGTCTCCCATGCCACGTTTAAAATCTCATCTCTAATTTTCAAATAAATTGAGTTAAAAACAATTTTAGTCAAATTTTGTAAACAAGTAAAACAACAACATGCAATTTGAATTGACATGGAGAGAAAATTATTTTAAGTGAAAAAATTTTAAAAATATAAAAATTAGGCCACGTAAAGCATATGAAATAGTGGGGATGTTGTACTTCTAATAAAAAGGGCAATATAGTCTCTTTGTAAAAGTTAAAAAAAAAGTGGAGTGCAACTATCAAATTATGGAGTGCCAATATCAACTCCCATTTTATCCTATCATATACTTCTCTTATTGGAAATTGATTTTTATTATAAAAAAATGGGAAGGTTCCCATGACATTGGGAACCAATGTCATGGGATGATCCGGGGGTGCTCCGGTACCCCGTTCGTAAAATTGACGGTTCCTACCCCCCTAACCCCCCTAGTAAACTCCCCCACCCCACCCCGCCCCGCCCCGAACAAACCCCCCACCCCCTCCAATTGCACCCCACAAGTCGATTTTGACTTTGGAGTCAAAATTTGACTCCAAAGTCAAAATCGACTTGTGGGGTGCAATTGGAGGGGGTGGGGGGGTTTGTTCGGGGCGGGGCGGGGTGGGGGGGTTTACCGGGGGGGTAGGAACCGTCAATTTTACGAACGGGGCACCGGAGCACCCCCGAGTCATCCCATGACATTGGTTCCCAATGTCATGGGAACCAAAGTGATAAAAAAAATGGTTCGATTCATTTTGCCTCTTTTTCTTTCCTATACTTTTTTTTGGTACATCTTGCCTATGCTCTATATCAATTGAATTTTTAATCTTTTAAGTGGGATGTGTTTGAATTTAATTATTACTCAATATTTCTTAAATAAAAATAGAATACTCTTTTATTCACATGATTCAATCATAAATAATACGGAGTACTTCGCATTTTTAAATTTTTATTTTTAATTAAATCATTCTTTATAAGGATAATTTACATTCTTTACTTCACAAAATTCAATCGTAAATAATATTCACTATTCTATAAACCATAAAATATAATGAATGAAATTTAATTTGAGGATAAAGAAAATGATTATCTTCCATGCTATTGTATTTATTCAGTTTGAACTTTGATCATCAATTAAATATATATTAGATATTGATATAATAATAACTTTATTAGATTTATCTTATAAAGTATTTTCAATATTCTATTTTATCTAATTAATACTCCATCCGTTCACAAATAAATTTTACGTTCACTATTCACAGGGTCAAACTTTATTCACTTTATTGGCCTATTTTCGTCATCCATTTGATAAAATAATAAAGTCATGTCACCTCTAGTTTTGTAGATCTTTTGATATAGTTTTTTAATATGCAATTTTTATTTTTTAATTCTACACTATTTTTCATATAAAATGATTTGAAAATAACTTCAGCCAAACATCGTAACGCGTAATGTAAAGTTTAATTTTGGACGGAGGGAGTATACAATGTACTTCTTATTTAATTATACGTCAAATATTGATCGTGGTTGACTGAAAAAGTCAAAATTAGATAAATATTCTAAATGAGAATAGTAGAATATTAAATTTTTTACTCCTTATAACTATTTACAAAATTGTGGATTAAATTTAGAATATTAAACTCGCGGCTTTTACTGTGTTCCCTTCTATATTTTTGTGCAGATGGAGCCGGGGGTCTCTTGGAAACAACCTCTCTACTCTCGAGTAGGGGCAAGGTCTGCGTACACACACTCTCCCCAGACCCTACTGTTGTGAGATTCACCTGGGTTGTTGTTGTTGTTGAAACTGGCGGCTTTTGATTGATTATATTGATGTATTTGAGTACTTCACCATTTGTTTTTGTTTTTATTTGTATTATTTTTACAAGTAAGTTTCTTTTTTTGAGGCTTTTGACAGAAAATTATTCGGTTGAATTATTGAATATTACTTCGGGGCTGTTTGGCAACTTCTGAATAGGTAAGAGCTGAACCAGTAAGAGATCTGAACCATTAAGTGCTGAACCAGTAAGAGGTCAGAACCATTAAGAGCTAGTATATTGCTTTAACTATTCAGAGACAAATGTCTGATCAATTCAAATAAGAGGTCTTAACCATTTAGACTATGTATAATACTTAACCATTTAGAGGCAAATCTCTTAACTATTCAGACGTCTGAACCATTAAGAAGCTGAAACAAACAGTCTGAATCATTAAGTGCTGAACCATTCAGACATCTGAACCATTAAGAGGCTGAAACAAACAGCCCCTTCATATCTTAAAAAATATCTACAATAAATTTATAATTTTGAAAAATCAATTTGAGAATAATATTTTGAATGTTCATCAAATAGTTAATTTTTTAGTTAATTTTTTTTATAGGGCATAATTATTATATGTAATCACAACTAAAAAAACGGGACCCCATACCTTGCAATTGATGGATCCACATCTGTATACTAATCCCTACTCATATCATCTTCACAAAAAAAATAAAAATTTAAAATAAATAAGAGAACACATATTTCCCCTTGGGTAAAGAAACTACGACCCTACTTTCTACCAAAAGAAAGCTGTAAGCACTTGAGTAAGTGAAAGAATCTAATACTAGTCCAAAGTCCGGAGTATCGGAGTATATAACATCAAGACATGACAATGAGAGTTTACTTATAATATAAAGTAAGGCTAAACTTTTCACAGGTAAACTCTCAGTAGCATGTATATCAAAAGTGCATTTTGATCATTTGCTATCCTTTTTATATACAGTAGTTTTTAAATATATATAAATTTTATTTTTATTTCTAAATAAATTTTAAAATAAATTTAGTACTGAGATCCACAAGAAGATTAATATGCTTCCAAATTTTGAAATTCACATAATATGACATTTTTTCTCAAGGGCTACACTACTATTGCTTGATGGGTAATGCTACTTCTACTCCAAAGATGTAACCAACTTGTACTCAAAAGACTCAAAATTACACAGAATATGTGCAAAATTTTGCAATTATAATGACATTGTGTGTCATAATGAACTATAAATGTGTAAGGATTAAGCTATTTCTATTTGTATCCCAAGATTTGTATCCTAATTTCTACACTTCAGGTTTGCACCTTCATTTGTGTCAATGTAATGCTAGAGTTATAGTTCATTAGTGCAAGTTTTTGTTCATGCATCATCATTTTGTGTTAGTGTGAACCATCAAAATGTTAGTATATACTTTTGATATAACTCTGGGGTACACTTTTTGGTGTAAGTGTAGCATGGTTGAATGTGTAAATATAACTCTTTGGGGTACAAGTTGGGGTACCATTCTTGGGATATAAAGATATACCTAGCATTGCTTGATAAATACTACGATGTAGATACTACGAGCTAATATTTCTAGATATTTTATTTACCCAAACATGTTTGTCTAATTTTATTTTTTATAGTGAAATTAGACAAATTTTAATCTACAATTAAATAACATTCATATGATACTACAGGTATAGATAAAACAAACTTTCAAAATAAATGTAATAAAGTTATTTTTATACCAATATGTAATACCTCCTCTCTTTGTAAGCAAATTATCCTGACACTATTCACACGATCAATAATATTAATCCTTTGTTGCCTAAGAAGCTGTTTGTTTCAGCCTTTTAATGGTTCAGATGTCTGAATGGTTCAGAACTTAATGGTTCAGACTGTTTGTTTCAGCCTCTTAATGGTTCAAATGTCTAAATGGTTAAGAGATTTGCCTCTGAATAGTTAAGTATTATACAGAGTCTGAATGATTAAGACCTCTTATATGAATTGATCAGACATTTGCCTCTAAATAGTTAAGCAATATACTAACTTTTAATGGTTCAGACCTCTTACTGGTTCAGCACTTAATGATTCAGACATCTTACTGGTTCAGCACTTACCTATTCAGAAGTTGCTAAACAGCCCCTAATTCACAATACAAACAATGGTAGGGATCTTTTGACAACTTTTGTCGTCATAATATGAACACACCTACAATGTTATGTTCAAAAAAATGTAAGTTCCTATCAATTTTTTGAACAGAACACCTTAGGTTCTATTGTCATATTATGACAACAATTTCTATTAGCAAAAGAACTAAGATACAAACAAGTACAAAATGTAAAAATATGTATAGTACCGAGTATGATATAATTAGAACACTTGTTTTCTGAGGGAGACTCTCAATATGAGTTCCCACGCAAAGTGAGAATAAAAGAAATACATAAAATATCGCACTACGAAAAACTCGACAAACACCTCACACTTCATATTATGATAGTGAACGTAGGAATAAATAACCACGTGTCGGCATCCACACACATATACTATGAATAAGGAATAAATACATTGAAAAGGGAGAGGGAGATTCAAATATTCGGCAAGAGATGATACACTGGAGAGGCCTGGATCTAAATCATACACTACAAACGGGGAAGTGAAGATCATTGTACAGGCTTGGCAAGGTTGTTGACACAAAAAAGTACTGCAATTGTGTTGGTCGAAGCAAAGGGATGATGAAACTACCCAGCTTACCATGTTTTTTTCATTAGAATCAGATTTCTATGAAACGAAACTGAAAAAAACTCCTTCCTAACCTTTTTTATCCTTTTCCGTTTGCAAAAGTCTCATTACTGTGAGAGAAGCTTGGAATCACATGCCACTATCTTGACATGGCCAACCGTCTCCTGGCATTCCTCGCTCTTGAATACAGCATCTTGTAAGATAAATGTCCAGACATTGTCACAGAATCTATACGTGTGAAGATGCCCCTGATAGTAGCACACCAAGAATGCCACACGTGTTATTGTCGCAAAATCATTACATCCCATAAATATCTTCATTCTTTCCATTTTGGTTCATCTAAAAAAACTTCACTTTCCTTTGAAGAAAAAGAATATGTGGCTCAAAAAACTTTTCTTATCAAAAAAATTAGCCACACCCTTTTCACTTTTCAACAATTTTCTTGAACTCCATGAAAGTCAAACCAAGAAGTTTTTATGGGAAGGAGGGAGTACATTAACGGGAGCAAATGACTATGAATCCTGAAAATACTATTGTTCTTTGAATTTGCCTTCTGGCAATCAGGACATCTTAACTGAATTCTTAAAAGTTTCCTTTTTAAATTAAACCTATAAATATAGTGAAACAAATGGTTTAGTACTAAAAATGGTGCTTCTTATAGAAATCTAGAGAAACTTAGTAGTCAATAGATCCATTCAGCCATTCTGTTGGTTCTCTCTTGGAAATTGGTTCAAAGATTTCAATTTTTTTACACCAAATGATTGAGAGTTCATCAGGAGTTACTGAGTTAGTTAGACATCAAAATGTAAGATAACATTACTTCCATATGTGGGCTTATATACTTTGACTACTGAAATTGTAGGCCTCACAGGTTTGGAGGCCACACGCAATTGCCCATTTTGAACTTGCACAGGGTTGGGTGTATCCTCTCCTTTACTAAACTTTCAACAACAGCCTAGTAGAATCCTTTACTAAACTTCGAACCCAAATAATCAAAACAAAACTTGACTATTCCCTCTCCAATCTTTTATAATCCACTCCCTTTCAATTACTAAACTCCCCCTTGTTCCTTTCAAATGACACTGCTTTGTAACCTACGTATAATACAGTATTAAAAATTGTAATTGGCATCCACTTCAAGACCCACTCACTTGCTAGTTGCCATTGCCACTCTGTAAGCCTCATTTTCAATTGTACTATGTGATTGTGCAAGGCTTTGATGTTGGCCACTATTGAGAATGCACCATAGAAAAATATCCTTCATTGAGTATATTTCAAGACATTTTAGGTTACCTTAATACAATTCTTCTCAAAGTTCCTACCAGGCAGGACACAACGAATGTGGTCTAAAATAATATGAACATACCAACTAGTAGTTAATGAAGAAGTGGGTTTCTTGCCGAGGGCGCTTGGACTCTAGATCAACTACTAGTTGATGAAATTGGTCATTGGTCTTTAATTTTTGTTTCCCTGTGCTTAAAAACTTAAGGTTCAGGTAGTACATATGATACCCCCCCCCCCCATTGGTCTGGGAGAAAGACAGTTTCCAGAAGGACTAACTAGTAACTACCACTGGAACTGAAGGATTTCAAATATTTGGTAGAGTAGTAGAGTGCTTGATTGCATGAAGATGCCTTTTGATGAATGTTTAAAAAGGCTGACTCTATCCTTTCTTGGAGCATATTGAACTATTCGCAGGGAAACTTTGAAATGACACCAGCTCGGAGCCTACTCTGGGAAATTTGGGGCAAATTTTTGTGTTAAGATGATTCTTACTTCCTGTCTAGCCATATTCAAACCAAAAAAAATGCTAAATGTTAAAGAAAGTTCAGAGATTAGTATCACTTGAAGATGGTTTTAAATTTTTATTTTCCCCCGTTAACATTAAAGATCCTACATAAATGTGCATTCACACTACCTTTGTACTGAATATTTTAATTAATGAATGATATCTCGACCTCTTGAAAAACATAGTCATGCTACTAGAGCAACAAGAGAAGGTTGATGCACAATGCTCGTTATGAGATTGTCCAAAACATGCTTCCGTGAGACAGGAGGACCAGAATGTTATCAAAAGCACTAAACATTACCAATTCATTGAATTTCAAGAATGTATAGGTTCTACTGGGTTGTTGTTGTCAACTGGGGGAATGAAAAGTCAACATGCTGGAGATAGAGGTTCAGTTTTATGTAGCGGTCCTATTTGTAGGTTCATGCCTTCGTGGTCTACTTCTGATATAAAACAAATGGAGATAGAAGTACGTGTGCTTGTTGAGTAAATATAGTTTTGGCAGCACAAAGAAAAAAACTAGTAAATACGAATTTTCCACCATTAAAAAAATATAAGAAATAAGTTCTCTGGTTTTCCCTAAATTATGATAGGCAAAACTCAAAATGTACCTTGATGGACACCTTGTTCTTCACTTGAGACTCCAGAGCTTCAGTCATAGACTGCATCAAGAAACACACAGCCTAATAGATCCACAATATGAAGACAAAAAACAAAATCCTAAACCTAAAAAAGAAGAAAGCCACATAAATATAGCTTGCTACAAAAAGGCAAAATCCAACTAATGTACAATGAGAAAACTTGAAATCCATATCCAATTTGCTATCGGAGGATTAATATACATTCTTATATACTTCATTCGTCCCAAAGTAATTTAACCACTTTTTTCTCTTTCCTTTTTTGGGGAAGAAAGTACGCAGTCCAAGATAATTATCTCTCTTCTGAACAAATTCTAACCACTGAATCTTCATTTTTCTACATCTTTTCAATGTCCTATCATTACTTCTCTTAACATCCATGAAATCAAAATGGACAAATAAACCCGACTCCTTTTTTGAGCTCCAAAAAACAATTGGTTGCAGGAACCCTAAAAGGCATAATAATAAAAATCATAATAAAGATGATGGAAACAAAAACCTTGTCGAACTGAACAAGGACTTGGATGGCAAGCTCGGGGCTGAGGGTGCCACTGGAAACCATCTCATCCAGGGTCTCCGTCAAGCACATACCAATCGTCGATCTCCTGTAAAGCTCGAAGGTCGCCATTCCTGTTCTTCTCAGGATCTGCAAACACAAATTTCATCAAATCAAACAACCGATGAAAAAGGAAAGTGAATCTAGCGACTCAGATTCAAAGGCTCAACACACGAATCGGAAGCTAAATTGCATAATCAAAGTAGCATGATCGGAAGCTATAATGAGGTGCTGAAGAGAAAGCATCCGAATGTGGGAAATGGAAGAGAGACAGAGAGAGAGAGAGAGAGAGAGAGAGAGAACCTCCGCTTGGCGTTCGAAGAGAGGGAGATGAATTGGGGCTTTTATACCCTAGAGTTCGTAGATGGGTGCTTATATAGGTGAAGGCGGTGGAATGAGAACTTGAAAGTACAGATATGTCCTTACTGTTCTTTTTTTTTGTTGCTTAAACACAGATTTATAGTCCTTGCACCCCCATATTTCGCACTTTTCTCACATCACTCCTTAAAATTTTTAGAATTCTATTTTTCTCTCTTTATAATTGTCTCCAAATAATTGTCATGTTTTCTGGTATGGAGTAATATTTTGATGAGGTTTTCATGTTATTTAAAATTAATATAAAATTTAAAGATAAAATTTATACAGAAAAAATAACTTAAATTAAGGCAAAAATGCTGTCACTTTAGGCGAATAAGACTACTCATTTTTACTTATTTAAAGCATATAAGCTCCTATATTCATGCATTCACCTTTTCTAATTTCAATTTTTCTGCTTTTTTTAATTCCAACTTCGTTATAACGTTGATTTAGTATATATATACTGCATTTGTGATTGTGCAATAAGGCTAGTCTTCAGTGTGTACTGCATTCGCAACTCATTAATCTTCGATTGATTTTTTTATGGAAGGTACATTAACTTTGAGTTATATGATAAAAAGTAAATCATTTTCAATTTGTAACAAAGATATACCGCATCTTTGAAATCTCTAACAAAATGATACCACTTGTTGAATTTGCGATTGTCCGGTGAAATGCTTATTTGGCATTCATGTAAGCTCTTTCTTTATCATACATGACATTCAAGTGATCCAATTGATATTTCTTTTCATTGTACGCAATTTTATTCTTAAAAGTTTAAAGACGTCATTTCTATATCCAATGAATGAAATAAAAATAGAACTTGTCATTCAGATTGCCATATCTGTGTTGTTATTGCCGAATGACAATATCACATTGATTAAAATTAAAATGAATATGCATTGATTTAAAAAAAAAAAACTGCAACCTCAAATAATTTCTTTGGAAACTAAAATTTTATTGCAAAAAGAAAAGAAAATACAATGTGGAAATGGTGGCTTAGATTAAACGTATAAATAGAAATGGAAATCCAAATTAAAATTACAAGAAATCCCATTGATACAATATAATCCAAGGCTAAAAAACATATTCCAACTAATGTGAAATCACAACCTCTTAGTCTAAAAGTAACTAGATGTAGCATATTTTTAATTATTACTGTAACATATTCCTCGTTGTATTTTTTTTCTTTTTATATAAAACTTTACTTTCCAAAAAAAATGTTTGTAGTGTATAAGTAGTTGTACTCCGGTGGTTTTTTTAAAAAAAAATGCACATTCAAGTTAATTTTAACCAATGTTATATTATCATTCGACAACAACAACATAAATGTGACAATTTAAATAAAAGGTTTTATTTTTATTTCATTTCTTGAATATAAAAAATGATGTCCTTAAATTTTAAAGAAAAAAGTTACAATGAAAAAACTATCAACTATATATCACGTAGGATAAGGAGAGAGCCCGCGTCAATGCCAAATAAGCATTTCACCGACCAGAAAATCACAAACCCAACAAGGGTGTCATTTTTTAACGAGTTTTAAAGATACGGTCTGTGACAATTCGAGATTTCCATTAAACCCGTACGTAACATTATTGTTTAAATGATTCAGTGTAGTTCAGTTTTAAAAAGCATTCAGTACCATATCGCTTTGGAGTATAACATTGTCAAACCATATCACCATACCATATAAAATAATTCTATTATAAAAAGCTAAACAAGTAAAGTAAAGCTTTCAAAAAAAAGTAAAGCAAAAATATTTGGTGCATCAATAAATTTTTATGTCCTTACACAACAAATGTATTTTTTACAAATATTTTGTTTACAAATCATGATTCTAAAACAATACTTTGTAAAAAAAGCTAAAATTAAGTAAGTTAAAATCGTAACAAAGAAACAAAAGCTAAAAATATTGAAAAATAACAAAGGTAAAATGAACAATTAATTTGCCATTTTAATCCTAATGATCCCGTTTGGTATTTTCTCGTTATTTGGGAAAGACACGTTGCCAAAAAACACTTTCACCGGTAACATTGGTCACGAGAATCAACAAAGTAAAAATTGTACGGTGTGATGTAGAAATTTATACACAAGAGCCCGTAGCAATAATACGAACGAACCACATATCTCTCTTTAAAATGGAAAGAGACATAATTTTGGTAAGAACACAAAAGGAAAGTTATAACATGATGGTTAAAACACTACATAGTGAATGAAATACAAAAGGGGAAAAAAAGGTTTATAGACTCTACTTGCACAAGTAATGCTGCAACACAAAAATGACTAGATCTTGGGAGCTTCCAGACGAATATAATCATACATGATCCCCTGGAAGGGGCTTTGATTCCTGGGTTGAGTCAGGTAAAGGGTATTCTCTCCTTCGGATACCAGACTACTTCCATGCACATCCACATTGAATAGCCAATACAGACCATGGATTCCAAGCCTGGCTATGGAGTTATCCCTCCCAAACAATCTGCTCGTGAACAGCGGTCGATCTGTACTTGGGTTATTAACCCGGACCTTCAGTCCAATTTGCTACAAGTGAGCGATTTGCTAGGCAGAAAAAAAAAGGCGATGATAAGAAACCATTTGTATTACAACTTATGAACCTGTAACTCGGCAAGTGCTGAAGATGCAATTGCCACTCGCAACTTGTAGGTGCCATTTTTATGGACATTATCAAGTCTGAACTTGATTTGCCATGTGGTTCCTACATATGTCCCGTCTTCTTTCTTCCTGCAATAGCCGTAGCCAACCATGGGAAATATTAAAAATCCGTTTGGCAACTTGGGATGTTCAGAAACCCTCCTCAACCCTACTTTTGTAGGATTTTATTGGGATACTAACAACACTGGAGAAGTGTGGAGCTACCCATACCTAGTAACTTGAGCAAAAAACCAGTCTTTGCAATAGTCGCTCTTCCCAATAGTATAGACGAGGTCACCGTGTGGATATAACTCTGAGTATCTTTCCCAAAGTCCATATTGCCTGAACCTGCGTGCATAATAAACTCAATTGAGTCATGCTACATTCACCCCAACCCTATGTTTTGTTCATGTAGACACACATGCACAAGAGCTTGTTTGTATGTGTCTGTGTGAACAAAACATGGAAAGTGGGGATGGTGTTGACGTTGGGGTGAAAATGGTTTTATCCGACTCAATTACCTTTCGGGGTGGTCGATGAAAATCTTGTTAAGATACTTTGGGTTGGGATCAGGAATGTAGAACTCTGCAGCACTACGATCAGGGATGCCTATCTCCCAAAGTGTAGGGCCATCCCTTGGAGGCTCGTAAACAATTTCACCCACATCAATTCTACAGCCTTTTTAATAAATAAATACTTTTACCAAATGAGAAGCATTTCAAGAAATGCATGCACAAGATCTTATCCCTACCTAAAAAGGTAGAGAGAGCCAAGAAATACATGAACATTTACATGCTAAAAAGATTAAGCTATCAATTTTGAATATTGAATTTAGGACCTGAAGCTATCGTTATGGAGGCTTCATTCCGATAGTCTCCTATGAATCCAGGTACCCATGCATAAAGATTGTAGTCACCGGGAAGTACATTGTTGATGGTGAAACATCCATCCTCACTCGCTCTACTCCAGAATTGGTAACCCTAGTGAAAGGGGTTTGTTAAAAGCTAATTAATTATGATTACCATCGGTAGGAGACTTTTTCTGCTTATTCAGAGAAAACATTTGAAGCCTATAACCCAAACTACGTACCTTGCATTCTTTTTGCCATGATCCCGCATCTCCTTCTGGGGCCAATCCCACATATGCACCCCTTGCAGGAATAAGATCATTACAGACATACCTGTTTGAATAATTTCAAACACTTTAGAAATGCGTGCTTGTTGAAAAAATTGGCAGTAAGACACTTGTAACTTGTTATTGACCAATACAGTAATGTAATTGAATCCCATATATCATCCTCACTTGTCATTGACCAATAGTCTGCCACTGACATTTCCCCGTTGATCTGCTGAAAGGAAATCCTTAGATGCTGGAAAGCTGTATGGCCAGCTTTGTACCTCTACTCGCATCTGAAACCCCAATCAGTACTTTCTCAAAACACTTACTTCATGTATACTTATTAACTTCTTAAGGTTAAACAGAAAGAGAGAGGAAAGAACGAAAGAAGACAGCTTTTCACTGCTAAACCTGCCGTTTGGCATCTCCCCATAAAGTTAGAGCATCTTCAGCATGCATTGCAGAGTTAAGATAAATGAAAATTGGTCCAAAAACTTTCTTCCATGCCTCGCCTTGTTGAAACTTTGGTGTTAGCTCATCTCCAGCATAATGAGAGCCTAGGAATACCTACAGATGCAAATTAGTACTACTGCAAGCTTGATTATCGTATTAATGGTGATTGGTGTAGCACCAAGTAAATCCTATGTCTTAATCATGAATGATAAATAAATATGCTTACCGCTAGGGTTGTGGGACCGACATGTGATGTAAGGTTCTGTTTGACAGGACCACCAGATCGGAATTCATCACTGGGTGTGATTTGCCAGAACCCCACAGGTGGGTTCATAGATATCCATCCATGTACTTTATTATCCTTGTTTTCACATGAATACTGGTACTTGTCATCTACCTACAAAGTATAGTGTCATCACAACAGTTTATGACTGTGATGAGTAACTTCCCAATAAAACCCATGGATATACAATCNCCAGTGATTCAAAGTGAAAGGTTGGAATACTCTTAGTCTAAATCAATTGTCAAAAATGTTCTTCTAATTTCCGTTCAAGGAAAGAACTGTATCGCTCATACCAGACAAATTTTACTGCCTAAAAAACTGTAAAAAGTACTCCGTACATAGTAAATACAAAGAACGAATTGAGATGGAGGGAGTAATCATTAGTTCATTATTACTTCTCCTCTTAATTCAGGATTGATAGGATTGACAAGTAGGACTGCTTCTTGATAAGCAAGGGGCTGGCATCTGCCATGCAACCGGTCATCTGGAAGGGGCATAAACCTTTGCCTATTGTCTGCCACAGCCATGTAGTGAAATCTATGGGATACAATTGTCAAATGGTTAATATCCTTGTGAACATCTCAGAGAAAATCTCCATTTTTTAAAGATTTTTCCTCAACTCCTTACTTGTCTTTTCGAAGCTTGAATGCTACTCTGGTCTCACCAAGACTGAAAGCAGGCCACTCTGAAGATCCAACATGCTCATAAATGGCATATGTGTAGAAACCAGACGAACCACGTAGCAAAACAAACCTATGATGAGATTGTCATGTCATTATTTATGTTCAAATGTCCCTAAACATTCTAGCAGACACACTTACTTTTCTACAACTTGACTCTAGTGAAAACAAATAAAGACCTTTTATCAATGTTTAGAGGAACAAGCTTTCCCTGGAGGCAAGGATCCCATGGCCTTGCAAATGATAACTCAACCTGCTCATCTTCTTCCTTTATAACGGTAAAATTTGTTGCTTTAATCCTACACATCATAACAATCTTATCATCATCATCACCCACCTTAATCCCAACAAGTTGGGGTTGTTGGCATCAAATCTTTAGCGCCAACAAATTGTACGGAGTATAAAACCGGTTAAAACTAAAAATTCATGTTTAAAAAAAAGTGACAACGGTTTATTCCGTGTGCCCTTTCACATCCTTTGTAAGAAGGAAAAATGAGATTAAAATATTAAAATCATCATCACATGTTATATCTACAGGCCAATGGAAAACACATTAGTGCTAGAAGAAGAAGAAGAAGAATACGAAAAAGGTGCTATCAATAACTTGCATCTCTAAAGAACAATAGACTAATAAGAAATGACATGCATACACTTCAAATATTCCAGCTTTGCCGCCATCATTCGCATTCCATACAACATCCCAGTACCTACAAAACATTACCTTAAGTATGAGATGACTACCCGTACTATACAAGACGTCGAAACTAACGAGGGAATTGAAGATATATACCCTCTGTTAGATTCATTGTTCCGAATTTCAAGCAGATTGTCGATGCCTTTATAACGAATTCCAGTGACAATCCCATCAGGCTTTGAGAGAGTGACTTGGATTATGCCATTATCCATCACTACCTGCCATTGTATTTTTCTTTGGATAAAACAACTCCCAAACACAATGCTATTAGGCAAACAAATCAATCAATCATCAATGAACAAAGGATTATCAATTACATGGTGATCTTGAATGCACAATCGCACTCCAGAAGCTGGCATTGTTCCGCTGGGCCTATGATTCTCTGCAGAACAAGAGAAAGATGAGATCGCGCCTTAATGGCATCCTCTCGTGGCTTCCATTTTCAATTCGCAATTGATACGGCATGGTTCATTCTAAGGGAATTACTAAGGGGAGTTACGAAGAAGAAGAAGAAGACCTGTGTGGCTGCCACGTGGGCATATATTGTGTAGGATGCGCCTGAAATTACGGCCACATCCCATAATCGCGGTTACGAGAGAATTAACTATCACGCGCCACCACTTCGTCGGAATCTTCCTTCCAACATCCTCTCTTTACGGGGCTTGAATGATCGATCCTCACCGCAATGAGATAACGGTGGAACTGCATGCCCTGAAAAAATAAAATTGACTGCGTTCAAAATTTATATTTTGTTCTATTTTATAATTTTAGAATACTTTTGCTTTAAAATTATTAATAAATTTAAAAATATGGTACCCTAAATTTTAAGATGCTCTCTGCGGTTGGCCACTTTGCACACTCTCCATGTATATAAAGTATAAATAAACACTCCGTATTCCATCCGGGCAAATTGAGTAGTAAACAGATCTTATTTCCATAAAAAAAAATCTTATTTTGATTTTATGGAGTTTTAAAAAAATGTTGATATGTAAGAAGTGAATGATTAGTTATTACTATGTATAAAAAAGTAAAAGAAAATTGTTGATCACCTATGATATGTACTTTACGAAGTACTTTATTAAATACTTGAAAAAGTATATAATTATTTTGGAACAGATTAAAGTTAAGAATAACAAAATACGGAGTAATAATTTTAGGACTTCAGGATTTTTAATGGAACTTTTTAATTACTTAGGTTTTATAAGGTGCACTTTTTAAGAGTCAATTTACTAATGGGTGTTGTTATATCTACCTTTATTTTGACTAAGACCATGTTCTTTTGAGTAGGAATTTCAGTGTTAAATGTTAGAAGAACTTGAAAGGAGTTGGATGAAACTGAAAGAAGTTGGAAAATGTTGGAAGAATTAATGTGTTAAAAAATCAATCAAATTATTTCTCAAATAAATATGTAAGAAAACTATAATTTTTGATTAAAAAAAAGAAGTTATTCTTGTTTGTGCTTGAGGTGGCAATTCATAATTTTGGATATATAATGTTATTGTACATTCATCATATATATAAATACCTTTTTTTAAGTCATTGTTATAAAGAACTAGAAGATGTTGGAAGGAACTGGAAAAGCTGGAAGAAATTGAAAGAAGCTAAAAGTTAATTTTTTTCAACCCAAAAGAACAAGGTCTAAATACACGTATTCATGTTAAGTTGATAAATTTGTCCTTAAGAGTTTTCTAAAATCTACTATCTCTTCTATGTGTTTTTGAATGTAAAGTTATCTATTTAACCATAATGAGGATGAATATAACAACATTCTTTACTAATTCAAAATACTTCTTAAGATAGAGTTTTCAATTTGTTTAGGAATTCTCAATATTTTGGATTGCTGGACATACTCCTATTTTAATTTTGTAAGAGTAACGGAAAATTTAACAAAGTTTAAAGTAGGTACCCATAGTTCAAGGCTTCAAGCTTTGGACGCTCAAATTTGTTGAACATAAACAAAAATATCTAAACTAGAATTTTATCTAACCCCAGACATCCAAACTGATTTCAAAAAAAATCATTATCATTTTTGAACTTGTTTTAAGACGTTCTTTCGACTTCAAAAAAAAAAGACATTCTTTCATTCACTTTGAACTGACCATCATAACATTTTTGACACAGTACAAGAATGTAAATAAAATATACATTCATATTCATTTTACTTTTAATTACTCGTAATATAAAGCTCAAACACCCATTAATTGAATGCAACCCAGAAATCTGCTTATTAACATTGATTGACATTGGTGACTCACATGTTCCATTGATGGCAAGGGTAAGATAAGAGATGGTATTGCATGACTAGTGTACATACAGGAACATTATTGGGGCACCCCAACAATTGTACATAATTTGTACGCCAAAGGCAAACAAAGACATTTTATGTCTGTCCGGGCAAAGACATTATGTCTATTTTTCCCTTTAGTGTACAAATGGTGTACAATTGTCGGGGTACCCCTAGCATTCCCGGTAGGCATATGAAGACAACATTGCAACGAATTCTTTTGGGTAATATATGGAAGTCCCAGTCTGATTAGGAATGCGGCTCAGCTTTCCTCTTGAAAAATAGTGACCCTAACAGAACAGCAATTCCGGTTATTGCAATGGTAAAGAGAAGACGCTTCTTTGAGAGCTCGCTGGGACGCCTTCTTGGAGTATTGTTATCGCTTGCTGGTGCCCTTGTGTTCCTGTGTCCACATACATGAAGAATAAATAAACATCACATATCTCGAATAATGTTCATATTTTATATAGAAAATGTTTTCTAAACTTTTCATCATTGGCACCGCATTCTTTGAGCTTTTGTGGAAAATGACTTGCTCAATATGATGCATTGTGTTTTTTTCTACTTTTGTGTGTTAAAACAGTATGCTCACACTGCCCTACAATCTTCTTCCTGTTTTGCTTTTTGCCCTGTCCAAGACAAATCTTCACATTTCCTCTTAAGCAAAAATTTGTGGCGTTTATAATGTTTCTCTCCTTTGTAAACAGAACATATTACTACGGTATTTTCAAAATAAGTGTGTAAAGTCAAAGCAAGAAGAAACATAGAGAATAGAGATGGAAAGCACAAAACACTTTACTGTGGCAAGTTATTTTCCTACAATAATGAGTTAATGGCTAATTTTAACATTTAGTCTAACTACACAGTATACATTATTATTCAATTTGGTTCTCAACTATGAAATTTTGATCCAGTTTACTTCGCTATGATTAAGAATGATATTTTCAGTCGATAATGACTAAATTCGGTCCAAATAACATAGTTGAGGATAACACCAAGTTCAAAACATTTGGTTAGCAGACGAATATATACTTATTTAGGGCCATATATGTGCACGGACCAAATTGAGCCAAAGTTGCATAGTCAATGAGCGCATTAAGCATTTAAAAAGTAGATCGCATATTCGAGTAATAGTTCATGGTTGAATGACTAAATCATGTATTGTTGTAGAATAAAACAGGGTTAACTTTTTTAAAAATGTTCTCCACAGATAATGTGTGAATATGCCCATGTTTTACTGTTTCGATGTTGACAGCACATAGAGAAACTCACTCGGATATTTAGACTCAGCTTCACGAACTGTATAGACAAAATATGGACATGCTAGGGGTCTGTTTGGAACATGGAAAATCTCAGGAAAAGAACTTAGCGAGGACATTATAGGGGTAAACCGTACAACAACAACAACCCAGTTAAATCCCACAAGAGTAGGGTCTGGGGAGGGTGTGTGTACGCAGACCTTGCCCCTACTCGAAAGTAGAGAGGCTGTTTCCAAAGAGACCCCCGGCTCAACATCGAAAGTTGCATTGCTTGACTAACTGCTACTTCATTAATTAAAGAAGCGCAGACAGTTTAGAGATCCATTTTGATTTATTCCATCACACCCCAAAGCCAAAAAATGGTGAAATTTTGGCTCCATCGGAGATGATGGAAATTATAGGGGTAAACCGTAAACATAATAATTTTGTTCAAATTCAACAAATATATTTTTTATATTTGTTCAAACACATGTGATTTATCTATTTATATTATGTAAAGACTATGAGATCTAAACAGATGTAAAAGCAGATAATAACTTTCCATTCCCACCCCCGGCATTTTCCAACTTCCAAACATACTCTTTGGGAGTTGCACTAACAAGATTTCCCTTTTATCCACATAACAAGTCAGAATGGAATACCTGGAAGACTCAGCAACATTATTATCTACTATTCCATTGCATTTCTTCTCGTGGGAGTTCATTTCGCGGAGTCTAATGTATCTACTACAAAGATAACAAAGTTCTGTACGGTTCCCACACACTTCCTGAGAAATTTCGGCAATAGAAAATAAAGAATCAAAGGTTGATGAAGATATGCTGTAGACGATTTTACATCCGTGATAAGGGATTTTACCTGATGCTTAAACAAATCAACTGCTGGTAAAGGAAACTCGCAGTACTCGCACGTAACGATTCTTTGTGGGCAATTTGCTCCTTTGTGAGCATCTAAAACTTCACGTTCCATTGTCTCACAGCACAAGGAGCAGGAAACCTATGCCAGCACAAATACTTACCCCAATTAATAATATCAAACTGGTTTAGCTTAGCATAGTATCATTCCTTCATAGTCCTAGTAAGGTGTCATTCCCCATAATAGCCAAAGAATGAGGAGAAAGAAAGGAAACACAAAGAGGGGAAGAGAAAGTATCATAATAGAAGTAGATGTTGGTTTGTATCTTTATATCCATTTGAAAGTGGATGACTTTACATACCTTGCAAGATGGTGGGATGTTGGAGCACACCAACATGGAAAACCTGTGTGCCCCTTTTTAGACACGCTAGAATAAAAACTGTGTTGCTCGAGCTGAAGGTCTCTTGGAAAAACCTCTCTACTTTCTAAGTAGTGGTAATGTCTACGTACACACACCCTCCTCATACCCTATGTTTGTGGGATCCTACTGGGTTGTTGTCGTGGAATAAAAAATAACTCATTTGAGTTCAATATGATCTCATATTGTATCATATTAGGTATTGGCCTAAATCATCTAATATGTTGGTTTGTACTTTCACATTTGTTCGATATGGAAGGCATGACTTCAGAAAAAGGATCATAACATGATCTTTAAATTCATTACATTTTTAGAATTTAGGTTAGAGAAATATTTATAATATGTGCAACTTGAGCTGGGGGTCTCTTGGAAACAACTTCTCTACTTTCGAGTGGGAGCAAAGTCTGCGTACACACACCCTCCCCAAACCCTACTCTTGTAGAATTCAATTGGATTGTTGTAGGTTAGAGCAATTTAATATAACTAGTACATAAAATCATTCAAAACATATGATCTTACCATTGACTCTAGTTCCAGTAATATGTGAAAGCATTGAATTTGGTCTAACTCATTAGCGAGAGTGAAAAAGATGTCTTCAGAAGGTGATGGAAACTTATACACTAGGCTCAAACTCAAACCCAAAAAGACAATAAGGGGAAAAAAAACAAAGTGCACCCAGAAAGTTTCTAATCACTTACTGGAGCATGACTACTTAAGAAATGTTCCTCAGTGTATTTCTTGGGAACCATATCGCCACAAATCTTACATTTTTCCAGATTCCGAGAGCAGTGAGCAAAGTGCAAATCCATGTTTGAAGAGAGGATTGCCCTATCACTGGAAAGTGGGGACATACAACTTTAAATTAATCAAATACTCAATTTTTCTCATGGAATTAAGAAAGAGCAGGATGAGCACAAAGTATAATGACTCCTATAAAGATACTGAGTATAATTTATGATTGATCTGGGTCATCCGATTGGGCCATAAATCACTTGGTGAAATCCCAAAAGAATACTTAATGCACCCAATTAGCTAGATCAAGTGAAGATCTTAGCAATTAGCATTTTCTATGTAATATTGACTCTCGACCTAAAAAAGTAATTACTCAGCATAGCTCTAATTAACCATGTTAAAGCACACAGCCAAGACATCTGATCAAAGCATATGGGAGGACAAAAAATTACTAGAAAAAACTAAAAGTAAAAGAACTAACCAGTGACTGCAGATGCTCGTAGCTGGATCGGAAGGTACATCCATTGTTTAAAGTTTACCTTCCCAAAATTTTCTGAAGTGTCTGCAATTACGATTACATAAACGAACAAAGAACAAAAATAAAATCACGTTGGAAAAAAAGACGAGGTTTGGTGACTGATTTGGGGTTTGGATAGGGTAAAACAAATTCGATCGGAATGATAATAATAATAATAATAATGGTGAGACGCATAATGGTTGACCTGAGATTGAATCGACGCGCCGATCGGGCGATGAATGGTTGGGTGATGCCTTGATTGAAGGAAGGTGATCCTCTTGATCAAGGAAGAGGCATATGATGCTCGGGTGAACTGGGTTTGGTTCCCACCCAAGTCCCACCCTTGTAGAAGACTCCACGTCCGAAGTTGTTACCCAATTAAAATTTACTTTCCAAAAATATCCTAAATCTAATAGTAGGATGTGATATGTAGATTACAATATTCCTTCTTATTTTTGTCCAAAAAGGATTACAAAGTGTTCACTTTTACACTAAATGAACTTTTTTACCCTCCCTCCCCTTTATCATTTCAATGTCAAATCTCACTCACTCACCCATTCCTATATTATTTGGGGGTAATTTGGGAAAAAAAATATTGATCTGACTCTTCCTTAATTTTGTCTAAAAGAGAATATTATAATTTAAAAGTGGACGGAGGGAGTACATTATTAGAAAAAAGGTATGATGTGATATGAAGGGTTTGAAAAAATAAGGGATAACAGTGGTTTTTTAATAGGAATGAGTAAAAGATTGTGGGACACAATTTTTTTGAAACATGTAAATATTTTTAGAACGGAAGGAGTATATGATATCTTGTGTGGACCTTTTGCTTTTGGTTCTTAGTATTTCCAGATTTGAGATCTTTTTTTTAATGGTCTTGTTGGACCAGACTCGTCGGTCTACGATTCAATCTAATTCACTGAGTAAAACCACTTCATCCAAAATCCAAAGGACCCACCCTGTTGGATCATATGAGTTCGGGTAAGTTATTTTCTTGGACCATGCTACACACCTTTTACCCTTGCTACTAACATTGCCTCCACCCATCTACTCATTCTCTACCCACCTTCTAATTTTAATTTTTTTGCCTCCCTACAACATATTTATGTAGGGGACATGAGTGGTAGCAAAGGTGGACTTTTTTTCATTTTCCTATTATTTTAGCTTATTATTTCTAAAAATCAAATCAAATTTATTTTTATTTTAATCATTTCTATCTCTTAACTTCCCCCTAAACCCATGCCCCCTAGCACCCCATCCGAGCACCCCCTACCCCCAGATCATAGACTGCATTTGAATCACCAATTAGTATAAAAGTATTTTGATTACTTTGGACCTATAGATGGTACTTTATTCGCGATGTTTTCATTTTGATTTTTTTGATATTTAATAAGAGAATATTTTTGTGTTGATTTTCCAAAAATACTTCATAATGTGATAAAAAGATTATTAATGAAAAAGTATGATGCAATAGGTACGTTAAAAATTAGTAGGGGTAAAAGTAATTTTTTAACAGAAAAGAAAAGGAATTTGTGGGACAATAAAAAAAAGAAAGGGAAAGAGGTTTTTATGACTAAAAAAAGAAAGGAAAATACTCTTAAGTCCCGTTTGGTACATGAAATTCAAACTATGAAATTAGAATTAAAGACTTCAATTCCAATTCTGGTGTTTGGTAGCACATAAATTATATGGATTTGAAATTGATAGGGCAGAAAATGAATTGAAATTGACAGAATTGAATCTCATTGAATTTCAATTCCAATTCAATTCCTTATACCAAATGGACCCTTAATGTGATGTGAATATTATTACGGAGTAGTAAAAAAGTATGATGTGATAGATAGGTTAAAATTAATAAGGGTAAAATTAGAAAAGAGAGAACTTTTGTGAGACCGAGGAGTATGTTGTAATTTCTGATATAGTGTTGTGAGTACGGAATTATTTGGTAGTGTGGTTGTGAGATATTTTGATTTGTGAGGAAGTTCTACAAATAAATAACTAATATGGCGTACTGTAATTTTTTTTGGCAAATGGTGGGTTTTGTGTTCAAACCTCTCCCTAATTTTTGACTTCAATTATAGAGAGTAGTGATTTTAATGTCTTTTGTGAATTGAAGAATTAGATCTGGTTAAACAAGGAAATAAAGGCGCCATTATAAATGAATGGAGTTCTTCCCATTAATGTTAGAGTAACAAACAAACAGTTCACAAACTTGTATTTTTTATATTTTAGTAATAATAAGATACATACAAATAATAAAAGATATATTAATTTAAAATTCACTAATAGCAAGTTTGTGAATTATGTGTATGTGAGTCTAGCATTTTCTATTTTCTTCAAGGTTTCCTGTGAATTTTCTAATTTCATAAATGCCTTAATTGGGCGGTTTACGCTGGAGTTAAAAGGTTAGTATGGTCCATTCACTTTCTAAAATGTTGACTAAATAGGAGTAGTCCTAAAAGGAAAACTATTACGTTCTATATACGTAATTTTCTCATTCAGAATCCGTTAGAAGAGAGCGAGAATAGCGGGGATATCCATTATTACGAAGTTCCAGAGTCCTGGTAGGAATCGTTCTGTAGACGACGAATCTCTCACTCAATTAGCTTGTATATATATTAATTCGAATGTATAATTTCACAAATATCAACTCACAGATCTGTATACGAGCTTGACAATAATACCTAGCGGCGTCCGGCGATGGTTCTCTCGGCGGTAGACGTGGAAGGCAGGAGAGTGGAGGATGCCGACGACGAAAACGACTCGCCGGTGGAACAGGTCCGCCTCACCGTCTCGGCGCACGACGATCCTTCCCTCCCCGTCTGGACTTTCCGGATGTGGTTCCTCGGCCTCCTCTCCTGCGCGCTCCTCTCCTTCCTCAACACCTTCTTCGGCTACCGGACGGAACCGCTCGTCATCAGTATGATCTCAGTCCAGGTGGCGACGCTGCCGATCGGGCGGTTAATGGCGAAGGTGCTCCCGGAGAGAAAGTATCAGATCGGGTCGTGGGAGTTCTCGTTGAACCCGGGCCCGTTTAACATGAAGGAGCACGTGCTGATATCCATATTTGCGAATGCCGGATCCGCTTTCGGTAACGGAGCCGCTTATGCCGTTAGTATTGTTGATATCATTAAGGCTTTCTACATGAGGAATATCTCTTTCTGGGCCGGGTGGATCCTTGTTATCACTACACAGGTTTCTCTCTCTCTCTCTCTCTCTTTTTACTTAACTCTTTCATGAAAAAAAGTTTTATTTACTCGTATATATTTACTTGTATTACTTTGCATAATTAAGATGCCTATATTTTTCACATATTAACATAATTAAATTTAACACATTGGATTCACCTTTTTTCTTACAGAATTTAGTTCAACCTAATTGTAACAATTTATTGATAAAAAATAGAGAGCACGCGTAATCGGAAAAAAAATTATTGAACTTAATTCTTTTTTTGTGTGTGCGCTAAGAAAGTTAGGTTGTTAAAAATAGTTAGGGTACCAAAGAAAATTTGGTATAAATAGTTAGGCTACCGGACAAAATTTTAAAAGATTCTTGAACTTGAAAGAACTAAGTGTGTAAATTGCGAATACTTTTCATCCGCTTTCTTTCAAAGAAAGTACTCTGTATATATGTCTTTTTATACGGAGTAACTACGAAAATACTAATTATGTGTGTAATCATCATCATAATATGATCTAAACATCTCAAAAAGCTCCTGACGAGTCATGAGAACCGTTCCGTTGCCACTGAAGAACGATGTCACTGGCTTCTTCGGATCATGCCCCTTAGACCCACCCTATTGTCATTATCTTTTTGAGAAATTTAAGGAACAATCTTTTTTTGTTTCATAAAGTTGTTTCTTTATTTAAAGTAATTTATGTTTCCCTCAATAGCTTTATAATAAAATATTTTTTGTTAACCCATTCATCATATTTTTGAATCTTATTTGAAAAACGTACCGAGTAATTTTAACAAAAAATCATCTACTTGAGACAACACTAATTCAAAAGTTTCAACTTCAATACTAGATGAGAAAATCATCATAAAAAAAACTTTTCAATTTTCATGTAACGAGATAGACTTGCCATCTTTGTTTTAGTTTTCTGGTTGATAATAGTCGTATATGTGGAATCCTCTCTGGATCAAGACATGGTTTCTTTGAATTCCATTGAAATTGATTCCGAACTGAAACTAGAGACTCCTATCAGGTTTATTTTTATTAGTATTGATCATGGCTCGTTTATTTGAGAAAGCGGGTCTGCGTCAAATTCATCTACTCAAGTCGATCAATAACAGGTTTAATCTTAATTCCAATTTGGGATGCAGGTGCTTGGGTATGGATGGGCAGGAATCATGAGAAAGTATGTTATAGATCCTGGTGAGATGTGGTGGCCACAAAGTCTGGTGCAAGTTTCTCTTTTCAGGTAATTCAATTGTCACTCGCGCCAAAGAGTCAATATTCACGTGCATAAATCGATGAGAAAATAAAGTTCATACGCGTGTGGGGCATGTTAGAGTATAAGAAGTATAAATTTTCTAAAACATTGAATCAAAAACTTAAACTTGTGGTTTTGTTGTTTCTTGATATATGGAGCATTTGTTTGATGTGTTTTGGTGCAGAGCACTGCACGAGAAAGAGGAAAAGAAGGGACCATCATCATCATCAATGTCAAGGGGAAAATTCTTCCTCATAGCACTGGTGTGCGGTTCAGTATATTACATCGTCCCGGGATTTCTCTTCCCAACCATTTCCAACATCTCCTTGCTGTGCTTGTTCTACCCAAAGTCAGTTCTGGCCCAGCAAATAGGCTCCGGCATGAAGGGTCTCGGCATCTTCTCCTTCACCTTGGACTGGTCCGTCATAGCCTCCTACCTCGCCAGCCCCCTCGTCACCCCGTTCTTCGCCATAGCAAATGTCGCCATCGGCTACGTGGCGGTTGTCTACATCCTCATTCCCATTTGCTACTGGGGACTCAACCTCTACGATGCAAAAACCTACCCCATCTTCTCCTCCCACCTCTTCGACACCAGGGGTCAAGTCTACAATGTCTCCTCCATAGTCAACGACAAGTTCGAGCTGGACAGGGCAGCGTTTGCCCGCCAGGGCCCCATCAACCTCAGCCTCTTCTTCGCCCTCACATACGGCCTCAACTTTGCCTCCATCATCGCCACTCTCACCCACGTCGCCCTCTTCAACGGGAGGGAGATTTACAGCAGGTTCCGGTCGTCCTCGGGAGGAGGAGGGGGGAAAGAAGACGTGCACACGAGGCTGATGAAGAAGTACAAGGACATTCCGTCTTGGTGGTTTCACTTGACGCTGGTGTTCTCCTTTGCGCTGGCACTCGCAATGTGTGTGTTCATGAAGGAACAGATTCAGTTGCCCTGGTGGGGTTTGATCCTAGCCACCATTGTTTCCTGCTTGTTTACTCTCCCCATTAGTGTCATCACTGCCACTACCAACCAGGTATATGTTTTGATTAATCTGCTTAGTTAATTAATTTGTGTGAATGTAATTATGTTTTAATTTGGGTTTAACTGTGAAATTGTGTGTGTATATATATATATAAATGGATCAACGTGATCAGACGCCAGGACTGAACGTGATAACGGAGTACATATTGGGACTTATCATGCCAGGGAAGCCAATAGCCAATGTTTGTTTCAAGACGTTTGGGTACATAAGCATGACGCAAGCTGTTTCCTTTTTGAACGATTTCAAATTGGGACATTATATGAAGATTCCTCCCAGATCAATGTTCATTGTTCAGGTATATATTTATTTGGTTATAAACTTATAATGATATAAATTACAATTAGTTTTGATATATTATTTATTTAAAATTATATGGATGAATGCAGATAGTTGGAACCGTTGTGGCTGGGACGATAAATATAGGGGTGGCTTGGTGGCTGCTGACGTCAGTCCACAACATCTGTCAAGACAATTTGCTTCCTCCAAACAGCCCCTGGACCTGCCCAAACGACCGGGTCTTCTTCGACGCATCCGTGATATGGGGCCTGATTGGGCCTAAGCGAATATTCGGGTCATTGGGCCGTTACGGCGCCCTGAACTGGTGCTTCTTGGGCGGCGCGGTGGGTCCCCTGGTGGTGTGGCTGGTCCAGAAAGCCTTCCCGACTCGACGCTGGATCAGCCTCATCAACCTGCCGGTGATCCTCTCGACGACGGCGTACATGCCGCCGGCGACGAGCTTGAACTTCAACAGCTGGATCTTCGTCGGGACGGTTTTCAACCTATTCGTGTTCCGCTACAGGCGCAAGTGGTGGCAGAGGTACAACTACGTCCTGTCGGCGGCGCTGGACGCCGGGCTGGCTTTCATGGCGGTGATTCTCTACTTCTGTCTCGGAATGCCGAATGTGAGCTTGGATTGGTGGGGAAGCCGGGGAGAGCACTGCGACTTGGCCACTTGCCCGACGGCGCGTGGAGTGCAAGTCGACGGATGTCCTGTTTTCTGATGATTCATTTACTTTAGTTAGGAATTAGGATATGCCCACATATTTCATTCTTTCAGGCTCATTTTTTTCTAAAACCATTCATTAGTTGTGTTTTTTTTTCCGTTTGGTCGCCAAATATGTTAATATTATTGGAAGAAGATAGTTTCATCATTTAAGAAAAGATTCAACAGATTAAAGTGATTTCCGTTATTTACATTACTTTATTCGTATAAAGTGGGTGGATGTAAACACGCATGCCAATTAAATAAGTTATGGGTTTTGGAGCGAGTATTGTAAGTTATTTAGATCGTATTGATATCGTATCAAATATTTTGGTTCAATATGAGATTTTATGTTGTACCATTTTTGAAATTTTGGTTCGTATAGTTCAGTATCGTTTTCGTGATGAAAACATAAGCACCTAATTTTAAGTTTAAAATGTCACAAAAATATCTATTTTTATAAAGCGAAAGTATATTTAACAAACAAAAAAAGAAAAAAAATTGAATGCAAGAAATGTTTATTAAATTTAGTTTATATCTCACAAAGTACAATGAACAGATGATAACAAAATATCATTTCAAATGTGTGTTATTATTTTTAATTAATTCTTCTATAAAAAATTAAAACTCAAACGAAAGTACAATGTACATATATTAAAATTTGAGCCCAATTTTGAAAATAATCTTATTATTTACTGAAAAAATATAAAAATGATTATTATATTTATAATATATTAGTACATATATTCGGTTCGAGATTTTTTTGATTTGGAAAGTTACCTCGTACCGTTCCAAATACCAAACTAAACATTCGGTACGATTCATATTTTAGTGGTACTACCTCTGTTCCATTCTCTTTGTCCACTTTTGACTTTTGGAATTGTTCATCTAAGCACTTTGACTCATCAAATTCTCTCAATGTATAAGCCTAAATATAGTCATGTGTGATCTTGTTTGATTTGTCTTAACATATAGATTATTAATATATAAAATCTATAATTTTTTAATATACAAATTACAAGATAAAATGGATTAAAGAAGTGCATTGGATAGTGTGCCAAAAGGTAAGTGGACAAAAAGAGTAGGACGGAGGAAGTATTTTTTTTTGGTTTGGTTTTCTTGATTTTTCGAGAATTTTCAGTATCAGTTCGGTATTTGCTTACTCTTAATGGCTTTAATCGAATCACTTTAGGGTTATGTTTGGTACTCCTTAATACACCGTGTAATAATCCGTATTTTATTTAATTGGTGATCCCAAATTCTTTTATTTCAACAAAAAGATACTCCATTCAGATTTAATCTTTTTACTTGGATTTTTCTTTATTTTTAGGTGAAATTGACTAATTAAGTGGATTTGCCCAAAATACCCTTTTATGCAAAATACCCTCTTATTTCACACACGTTTATATAAAAAATGAAAGATTAACTCAAAAAGAAAAAAAAGAACAAACGAGAAAAAATAAATTCGGATAGAGGAAGTTATGCCGAATTACCGATGACATGATATGTGCAGATATGCTCAATGAAAGTTGAGTCCACGCATCTCAAAATGAAGTTTCTATTTTGATTTACCTTTTACGGTAATTGATTTAAACAATGAAATATTTGCACTAAATAACACAAACATAAGTCATTTTTCCAATATAATACAGAGTACATAAATTTTTTTATTTACTAAATAGCAATTAATAATGTCCAAAAAAAAGAATAATGTTCAGTGATGGCAAACATTTACTTGAATAATGACTAAAAGTGCTACATTGAGAAATAAAAATATATGATGGTATTTAGCGAAAGTCATTATGTTATAAAGCTACTTAGGTAAATTCCTCTTAAATAATTGTTAGAGTGCATCTCATATCAGAAGTCCAAGAGTATAATAATAGGTACGAGTATATAAGTTCTTGAGTTGAACTAACTAATCGATTGGATTCAATCTTTTAATGCGGTTCAACCCAAGTGTCTTATTATCCAATGTCTCTACCCGATCCTAAATTTATCAATAATTTTCTATTTATATATTTGAAAACTCGAAGATTAGTGTAGGGATTAAAATAAAAAATATGATTATATACTTAAATACTGGATTAAAAATCCAATAAAATACTGTATTAAGTAACTTAAATGTTTTATTTTATCAATCGCGATGAATAAAATGTGCAGAAATAATAAAAGTCAATTCGAGTTGAATTTTACACTTGGGATCTATTCCTGACCATTATTTTAGAAGAGGTCAAGAGGACCATATATATTCACAATGAAGTCCTATGTACTCCGTAATTTTATTGCTTGAGTTAAGCTCAATTTGACTATGTTATTTCACTACGAGATGCAATTAACATTAACACTGTATAACTGGCATTTAAAACAAACATTTTTAGCGACAAAATCAACAATTGTCACAAAAAAACATATGTTCCATTTTTGTTTCTTTTAAGTTTTTCTGTTTATTAATTTTTTTATTTTGATTTTTTATAAATTTGTATTATTTAATTGTATATTATGTTTTTAGTTTAATTATTTAAATTAAAATAAGTGTCGAAACAAGTTTTAATTTAGTTTTTTAATTGTGTACATTAATTATTTAATGCATCAATTTTATTATACTTTTAATTTAATTTTAATGTATCACTTTTAGTGAATGACTTTAAATTTTAATGAAATGTTTAATTATTACTCCGTACAAGTTTAATAAAATAACAGTTAGATTTTTATTATTATTTATATGTTATTATTTTAGTTATTTAAATTAAAATGAGTGTTTAAAAAATATTATAAATTAAAAGAGAAGTCATTTTCCTGAAAGGAGAAAATAAAATTAAAGCTGGTGGAGTTCATGAGTTGGTAAATAAAGCGGAAAAGAAGGCACACCTGTTGGGAAAAATTACCTCAATTTTCTAGCAGAAGCAATAAATAATTTTCCCGTCTTTGTGTTGTCAAAATGAGCAAAATCATATGACCAATCAAGAATAGCAAAAACAACGACAAGCAATCAATCAAGCAATAAACGAACACCAAGATTTAACGTGGAAACTCCAAATCGGGGAGAAAACCACGAAGCCTTCCACTAATCATCAAAAAAATCAGTGGGTACACCAAGAATCTTCTCTAAATCAATTAGAGATACACACAATCATCAAGTAATAACTTGGAACACCAAACAACAATAATCTTCACTAAAGAGTGAGAAATCTCTAATAAAAATGCAGCAGTAAACAGAGGCAATTTTACCGACATCGAGAGGTCAAAACAACAATCCCACCCTTGGATATGAAGAAGAGGATATCAGGAACAACATACTAAAATTTCATCCCGATCGGAGCTCGTTTGGTCGTCGATCGGAGCACAAACTCTTCTTCCTTCTCTCGGCTTCACCCTCTTTTTTCCCTGTTTTTCTGCTCTGTTTTCTGCCCGTGTCCAGCCACAAAAGGCTTTTGCCTTTTCTAGAAGGTGGCAGCCCCCACTTTGACATTTCCTTTCTTTTTTTTCTTTTATAATAATAATAATAAATATTATTATTATTATTATACTTCTCCACCTCTAAACAAATTACATTTTTAACACCAAGTATATTGTTTAGGAACTTCTTCCTCCATGTAAGAGGGATACACCAACAACACCGAATGGCTAAAAGATGAGCAAAAATGGGAGAAGTACTTGGTAACATATTATGATAATATTAGAAACATTACTCGACCAAATCATTAATGAAATTATCATTGAAAAAAATAAAGTGCCATCCTTTTTTTTATTTTATCATCACATGCGTGAAGCGTGCTTGTACGCTTGGGCTCTTTAATTTGTTTAATTATTTTTTTCTGTGTGGAATTTTGGATCCATTTATTGAAAACAAAACAAGCATTAAATGTGCAAGCCACTAATTGCTTTATAATTATTGAGGAGACAAGTGAATAAATATATAATTAATGGCTGAGGAATAAAAGCTACCAACAAGTGTATGTTATGTAGGTTCTTAATTAAAATAAAACAACAAGAGTATGTGGACCAATGTTGACTGCAAACACTATTCTGGGCTACATACATTGTTGTGTTGAAGATGAGGCCCAATCATGTTGACTACAAGCATTAATCATATACAAACAATGCATTTATCAATATATAAATTATCAATATTATGCTTATCCACCATTCCATTATTAATTAAACCAATTGCATTTATTGGTGCATTAGGTTCAACAGTAAAAAAACATAATAAAATTTTATTAAGTATAGGATTGTAAACTTTTTCTATTGTTGTTGACTGTTTTATGATTCAAGACAAATGAAGGCTTCTTGGATAGTATGTATAAAATATTTATAATAGTCGTTAATTCGTGATTCATCTAGCTAGACAGCTCATCGAACGTGTTCACTAGAAAATAATTCATCGTAAAATTTTACCATATATGACATTTATATAGAAAGATTACAAATATTTATGCTGCCATTCACTTTCAGAAAATGTTGGTCTAGTTTTGTTTTGTTCGTGCTACACAAAAGGTTTTCTTGGTACGTTCAGTTGCAACCTGTCGTTTGTTCGGAATGTCTATTTGTGAGGTTGGTTGTATAGTCGACATCTCAGTGTACACATCGTCTAAGTTTGGGATGCTTATAAGTTGTCCTCATGTCACCACGTGTATAAGAGTCATTAGTCATCAACCTTTGGTTGTTCATTTGTTGTAGGATTGATCATCTTCATTCATAATTGTCACAGCAGATCAAGTTCAAGTTTACTCTCAAATTGCTTATTAAAAAAATTGTCATAATTTTTTTATTGTCCAAGTCATGCATTTGTTAACTTCATGCTCAATTTAAGGGGAAGTGTTAGCGGATGTAATTGGGTTTTTGTATTATTGGGTTTGCTGGAGTTATGTTTGTATGAATAAAGTTCAATTCTATTTAATTCTACACATAATATACTCCAAATTTTTAAACTTATGTTGTGTGTGAATGTAGGTGCAAGATTGATGCCTTACATTAACACAATTTGTAAATGCGAAATTTTGCGACCGCACCGATATTTTGGGCCAGTGCAAGCTATCAAAACGTAAATGTAAATATCTGCATGAAAAATATATTAAAGTTCAATTATTAAAGCTCACAACACAGGTAATAAATATGGGTGGTACAACAAAAACAGTATTGTAGAATGAAATATAATAGTGTTTGTCATTTTAGCATACACAAGAATATGAAGTATGGCATTCATGTCTAACCTTTTACAGCTCAAATTTATGACCTTTTTCCCAACTAAGAAGTATGTATGGCCCTTCCCAAAGCACCGTGTCTTCTTTTCACTCTTTTGTTGCGCTGTGTCCACTTCAACACCAAAGCAAATTATATGTGTACTTCTGCACCCTATTAAAGTATTACTGCACAAATAAAATTTATTGCCTTAGCTTCTTCCTAAAAAAATAAACATTACTGTCATGTGGTTAAAAAGCAGAAGATTCTTAGTAAAGGTAAATTTTTAGACGAATTTAAGTTCCACCTAAAAATATGAGTAAATTTTTCAAAACCCTCGTTTCTAATAAGGTATTTTCTCAAATTAATTCTCAATAAACAATAATCACCAACGTAATCCTTTGTATTTAAGACGTATTTTCTGAATAGTTCTCTGTAAAAAGAACTTATTAAATAACAGTTAAATGGAGGATGTCTTTGTATCTTCCATCATCTAAACTATCAATAAAACTATCAATAAGTCCTCAAAATGATTCTTTCCAATTAAATGGGTGATTGCTAGAGGAACGGATCCACCCCCAGATGGCTCATGGGCTCCATTTTGGGATGACATTAACTTAGAAATTATCAATTTGAAAAAATATTTAATTATTTATAAGCATTTCGAGAACATACTTTAAGTCTAGATAATAGAATATATCAAAATACATTTTTATTTTACTGACATTTAATAGATATTTTTTACATATAACCATTTAGGGAATAAATCTAAATTATAAAGGACCACATAGGTAAATATTGCTTATTGATGACTAAATTAAAAATGTATCTCATTATAAAGGACCATTTTGAAAATTTACTCTAAAAATATATGAATTTTATTAATTGATATATAAGTATTATTATAGCACCATATGGATTTAGAGTAATTTATCTAAATAAGACTAAAACATAATAATTTTACCATATGTTTTTATTTTCCAATGTATGATCATTGGTCATTATCTATTAGTCATTATTCAACTAAATGTTCAACATCACTTGGACATTATTCTTTTAACTAGATATCATTAAGTTCTATTTAGAGAATAAAAAAGTTTAAATCCTACATTGAGAAATGACTTATGTTTTAGTTTTATTAAGTGAAAATTTCACTATTATTATAATGTTAAAATTGGGCTGATTTGTGAGCTTTTATTAAAATTGTTGTTTGTGTATATGAAAAAAATGAAAAGAAGAATTAAAATCCCATTCAACAGTTGAATTGATTTATTTTCTTTCTTTTTTGTTTTTATCTAAAAAAAGTCTAAAACTTTCTCGAAGCTTGGACTTGGGAGGACTGTGTCTGTGAGCTGAGGGGTTGGGGCGAGTGGTCTGTCTGTAAATATAAAAAAAAAATAAAAATAAAAACGCATTTAAGTGTTTTGATATCGCTAGCGGACAGCAAAAAAAGTATTTGTAACTTTCTGCCATGGATGGCCCCTAAATAACTTCTTTCTCCTTATTTCTCTCTCTCTCTCTCTCTCCATTTCTCTTTCTCTTCTCCACAACGAAATTCTCCGCAAATAACTCCATAGTCGTCATCTTCTTCTTCGTTTGCCTCCAGAAATCGTTCCAGAAGCTTCGTTTCCAGGTATTACTCATAGTGCTCTGCTTCACTCCATCCATTCTAGTTCATTATTCTAGGTAGTTACTTTCCCCCCTATAATCTGTCTACTTTTCCGTCTTTGTTTATTTTTTTGAGCTTTTTTGTTCATCTCCGCGAAGTTATTCATGTCGCATTTGCGGATTATTATCTTTGTTTTGATTCCATTGCATAGATCTAGTTGTCACTTTTGTTGATCTTGTTTTCATATGATTTTTTTTTTTGTTTTTGCTTTCATTTCAATGAGCTGGTTATTGGTCAGGAGATTCGAATCCGCTAACCGTACCTCATATTATTGTGTTAATTAAATGGCCTTTCTGCGGAGTACTGTTGTTGAGTTATTGCTTGGGTTTATTGGCCTCGGAACTTTTTCACCCTTTTTTGTTTTTTCCTTTCTTTTTTTGAGGAGTAGGAGATTCTAGGTTTCAGCTTGACGATTTTTTTTTGGGGAGAATTTTCCTCTCATCTTTATTGGTGATTCTGTGGAACATGAAAATGCCAGGCACAAAAGAGAATTGAGAATAATTGAAGAGGGGTGATGTCTCCGCCGCTGCTATGTATTGGGGATGACGAGGGCCAAAGCAATGTTAAGCTTATGGCTTCTCCTATCTCCCTAGAGAGTGTATGCCAGAATGGAGCAGGGCTGAAGGAGTGGAACTATATGGGATTGTCCGACTGTTCGTCGGTGGATAGCTCCAACATTTCTTCCACATCAGAAAACAATAGCGAGTGTGGACTGACATTGAGGGCAACTGAGCTCAGACTTGGACTTCCTGGTTCACAATCTCCAGTCAGGGATGCCGATCTTTGCCATTTTAGCTCGACTAAGCTTGACGAGAAGCTACTCTTCCCACTGCGCCCTTCCAAGGAAAATAACTTTGTTCTATCACAGAAGATTGTGGTTTCTGGAAATAAAAGAGGGTTTTCTGATGCTATGGATGGATTCTCGGAGGTGAATTATGTTCTACAACCAACATTTACACTTCGTATGATATAAGTTCTCTAACTACAGCTAACTGAACTATCTGCAGGACAAGTTTCTCTCTAGTTCAAGTGTTAAAACAGGTCAAATGAAGGAGAACCAAGGCTCGCAACTGGCTACAATGAAAGATGGCCCAACCCAAAACACAATGTTGGAGAGGCCTCGAGCTATGAATGATAATGTTCCAAATCAAGACAGTGGTAGTGCTCCTGCAACAAAGTAAGTGGAGATATGAGATATCTTCTGCTTAGGATCCATTTAGTTACCAAAAGTGGTTTAATCTTCTTACTGCTAAAATAAGCAGATCAAGAATACACCTAATAACCCTCACCAGACGGGCTCTAGATATTTGTGCTCTGGATTGTCATGCCTGGCCAACTCAGTCTGCTGTTGCTTTGTTAACAGGGCTCAGGTTGTAGGTTGGCCTCCCATTAGATCTTACAGGAAGAACACATTGGTTTCTGCTACAAAGAAATCTGAAGAAGTTGACCGAAAAGCTGGATCACC